GACTTTGTCATACAGTGAATCCTGCACCCACCTTCATTAAGCTACCAACAATCATATTTTCTCGTGAAATCAAATTGAATCAATTAAATGACCATGACATTTCTCATTATCTTCCATGTTTAAGATTAGGCTCTTAGTTTATCGACAATTTGCTAATCATCACAAGATTAATTCAATAACAAGCTGACCCAAAACTCTTTCTTAGAGACCGCCTTCATTAAGAGACCATTTTGGATTTCAGTTAGATTGCATATAGAAACGACATATTGAAGTGGACATGAAAGTCTCAAATCAACCCCAAAAAATGGCGAAACTGTTCCTTTGAGGTATAGCTTAAAGTAGTATTTTTCTTGTTATTGGTTACATTGCTATATGACCTACCTTAAAACCTCGAGATTTGGAAGCTATATTTTGTAATTCCATATTTTATTTTCATGCATTTTTTCATCAGGATATAGCACGGGAATCATTTCAACATATGAGTAGTAATATTAAAGGTCTCGGAATAACAGAAAAGAATAAAACTAAGGACGTTGCTTGGTTAGAATCCTTGTTCTTGAGATTTTATATTTAATGTTCATGTTTTATGATATTTTCGTGTTAGTTGATATTTTTATTTCTGTTTTGGAATGCGAGTATTTTCATTTTGATTAAACTTTCAATGGTAAGTCTTTGAGTAAACCAAAATTTTTCCTTGGAAATCCTTTTAAAAAAGTCTCTTTAATATTTAAGCAAGGTGGCTTTTGACATCATCTTTGCAGTCATTAATATTCTACTGTACATGAACATGAATGGGTAAATTTACAATTTGAAATTGTGTTTCGTTTTGGCGTTCAGGTCATTAATATTTGGATACTTGTGTTGTTTGGATTTTTGGTTTCGTTTTGCTGTTCGTTTTGTTAGTACTTGGTTTATTTATTCATAGATGAACAAAGCAAATTGACTTACATATAATAACAGTAATAAATGAACAATATCAGTTATGTGGAAACTCTAAAATCAAATCCCAGTTGACAATCCTAGTGACAAAATGGCATCGGTGTGCCAGAAGGGGAATATGCCCCCTGTACTTAGCGACAAGCTCAAATTCGTAAATGCAATCTCCAAAATAAGCTGTCTATGTTTGATAGAATTGCTAAGCAATCAATCTGTCTCTTTGTAAGAAGGTGCTCTCACTTGACATTCTACAATTTTGATGTCTTCAGAAGTCCACTGTGACTCTGCAGCGTGTAAAGATTTCATGACAAAAGATCAACAAGAACTTAAATATTGGAATGTGTATGCTTATGTAGTCAAAATTATTCATACATTATTTTTACTTCTAAGCTGCAAACAAATTCTACTTAAAAATGGGTTCCCTTATTTTCATTTATGAAAATGAAAATGCTAATACTTATATGAATAGAAAGTAGATGTGGAAAAATACCAGTTTGTCTCACATGTCAATAATTAATTCATAATTAGCTAAATTAGAAGAGAATTACCAGTAGAATTCCAATGAGTGACCAATCAAGAAAGGTCAAAAAGTCTCTTTTTGTTTATCCAGATTGTACATAGATGGACATTTATGATTGGTTAAAACTGTTAATTATATGCAATAAGAATATGATTTTATGATTAAGATACATGATAATTCATAAGAAACACCAATTGATCAACTAGTTTGCTTAATATGACACTAAAAATATAAGGAAACTCATCTTTAAAAAAATTGCTACTTGTAATCTTTGTAATAATTGTATCTTGCTAAATTTGAAAACTAGATAAATGAAATAGCTAATTATATATTTGAAGGAAATTGTTAGATGGTGCAGCTAAGTTAATGAGTGTTAATATTGAAAGGGGTAAAGACTATTTATCATCTGTTAACCAATCACATGATCACTCGAACACCACAAATACTACAATTCCAGACCATGATGCACATAATACAGAACATGTTGTAAAGGTAAGAATTATAGGTGATGTCCCAGATAAGAGAAGCATCAACTCAAACAAATAGCTATAAATCAGTAATAAGACTAAAAATTTACAGAAATGTTCACAACAATGTCTTGTCTAGGTCAGTTCTTAAACACCATTCAGAGGTTTAGATTTTGGCTTTATACTCCAGTTAGATGTGGATCTTTTACTCTATTTAGAAGTAGCTCTTATACTAAATTTAGAAGTTGCTCTTATACTCTATTTATAAGTGGCTCTTATACTCTATTTATAAGTGGCTCTTATATTCTATTTATAAGTTCCTCTTATACCCTATTTACAAGTGGCTCAAATCTTATAGTCTATTTAGAAGTGGCTCAAATCTTATACTCTATTTACAAGTGGCTCTTATATTATATTTATAAGTTCCTCTTTTACTAAAATGGCTCTTTTAGTCCATTTATAAGTGGCTCTTGTACTCTTTTTGGAAGTGGCTCTTTTGTTCTAATTATAAGTGACCCTTGTACTCTTTTAAGAAGTTGAAAGTATTACATGTGGGGTTAGAAAATAGATAAAAACTGTGTTGTAAAATATATTTTAGGAAAGGAACGCCACCAAGAAATTTATTCAGATATATGATACTATAAGTAGTGCTTTATTTGATATTGCTGAAGCTGATAAACCTCCTGTTATTATTAATACACCTAAATTATCACTTATTGTTGGGCGCATTTCTACTGCTCTGGGTAGCTTTACACAGGAAGTTGGTTCATCAGGAGTGTTTGCAATTCCTGAAATGCAAAATGTAACAGATCCAAATGAAATTCCTGTAGGATATCAGGTATGTGCTTTTCGTTTCTGCTACACTTCTTTATCTCATGTGTTGTTTCAGAAACTTCAAATATTTAAGCAGTTCGATCCATTTACCCAACTCTTAAATGATGAAGAACATAAAATGTGTAGCATATATGGTAGGTTGATGGCTTCCATCTATACATGCAGTATAACATGAATTCTTAAAATTGTTAAAGTTAATTTTGCAAAAAATTTCCCTTTTATATTCACCCATGTGTGAATATATTGTCGTCACACATGTCTGTCTTTCCACAATTGCTAAAAGTTATCATTCTTGACTGACTTTGAGAAAATTTGGTGAAATTGTTTATTATTAACCCTACAGAAAATCAAAAAGAATTTGCCAACTATACTTGATCCACAAATGATTGTGAAGTTCTTTGTATTCTATTCATAAAAGACATTGCAATCATTGCAGACATATAACCTTGCCTGGCAAGCTAACTTTACAAAATAATACAGCAAGTATAACAGAATTGATGGTGTTATTTGTGTGTTTATTTGTTGTTTAAATATGAATGTTTAAATATTCAGAGGGAGTCGCGATGGCTCAGTGAGTAAGACGCATGCACGTTAACCAGGGTTCAATCCCAGCATAGGTCGAGATAATACCTTCAGATTTTTCAACCAGGTTTCCCCTTGTCAGTGATGCAGTTAAGAGGGGCTGGCATGGAAAAAGCGTCTAGTCGCTCGAGACCTGTGTGCTTCAGGCTGTGCAGATGGAAATTGAAAAAGAGCAGGCTAATGCCGCCGTCCTGGCAAAATTACCCTCATTGCACCCTGCATGGCGTTGCCCGTCTTCATTAGCCCACATGGTTCAGAAAAGTAGGGTAAAATTCCATTCTGGTCATTTTTCATTTAAATATTCATTTAAATATTTAGATTGGTGAATATAAAGAGAATCCATTTCTGTGGAGTCCATCAGCTAAAGATATTGATATTCCTGTAGTAAGTATGGTGCTTAAGAATGCCAATGGGACTGAATTAAAATATAAGAATGCTTCAACACCATTTGACATTGAAGTCTTTACAAAGAGTAAGTAACTTGTTACTTTATAGTTTATAAGTAAAAAGATGAAATTCACAAACAGCAACTCAATAAGACTTTATTAGTTTGTCCAAAGGAGCCATACTGCATATTGTACTGAGTAGATATTAACGGGAGGGATCTATCTTCATCTAAATAATTTACAAGACAGTGCTGGCTGCCACTTTGGATTAAAAGGGACCATAATTATAATTTCTGAAAGTGACTACAGTTTAAAGTTTCTTAGAACATTGTAGATGATTCACAGGAGAACTGGATGTTGGTTTTTCATGCTCCCAAAATCACCCAGATTGAAAATCAGAAAAATGGAAAAATATTTAGTATGAGTTATTGCCCATGTCCTTGAAAACATGTTTACGTTTTAGGTCATAAACACTCAAGAAGGCACAATTCTTGACAGATTTTGACAGTGTTTGTTATCACCTAAGGATAAACTCTATTGAAAATCAGAAAAATCAATAAATATTTAGTATGAGTTATTGCCCTTGTCCTGAAAATGCGTTCAATTTTTAGCTCTAGATGGCACATTTTTCCTGACAGATTTTGACGAAATTTGGTGAAATTGTTCATAATCACCTTTGTATGAATCCTATTGAAAAAAATGTTTTATTGACCTTGTTCTTGAAAACACTTTCAATTTTTAGCTCTTAAACACTAAAAGGCACGATTCTTGCTGGATTTTGATTAAAGTTTGTTTTATCTCTACAGCTTTGGACTACAAAATCTAAATGATAGTATTTATATTCTTTAAGGAACTCCACAATATGGAAATAAAGACTTTGAAATAGAGTTGACAGCAGCATACAACTTTCATACTCTAGAAATAGTCAACAGTGGTTCCAGTTTGCTGATCTTGCCCACAGAACCCAACAAAGTACCTATTCTCTTCATCAAACCCATGAATACTGATCTCACTGTTCATGTATTACCACTTCTACAACCAAGAAATTTAACATTAAAAGATATTGAAGATGAAGGATACCAAATACCAATTCCTGCTTCAGAACTTAAAGTCTTCAAGCATTTTGAACAGGATCCTCATGTTATAGTTTTCCCTGAGGTAACAGATGATAGTAATACAACAGAGTTTTATGTTGGTATTTCAATAAGCAAGGGCCAGGTCCTATCTAGGAGTGTGGTAGATGCTACTGGTTTTGATGGAGATATTGCTGTTAAAGTTCATGTTGAGTTGATCCTCTCTAAATGTGCTTTTTGGGATGTTGAGAATGAGACATGGAGTGAAGAGGGATGTGTGGTTAGTATATTTTAAACAAAAACAAGGTGTATATCTTATAACTGCAGGAACTTTACATTAAAAAATCAATTGAGAGAAGACCTCCATGTCTATATTGCCTTACTAGTTAACTTAAATATGATAGTATAAATATATCAGAACTGAATTCGCAATTACCAAGTTATTCTTTATAAGCCTGCATTTGGCTTTCGTGGCTGTCTCATGGAAAAATACAACAGATATTTGCAATCTTAGAATTGAGATCATGTATAAATTTAGAGACTTCTTAATGACAAGACTTAAAGGTTAGCTCTTTTCTGGAATTTCGAGATGCTTATGCCTCTTTTAAGTTTTCTGATCTTCTTCAAGATTGCACTACTCCTCATTTGGGCTACAATTGATGGACTTTTTTTTTTTTTTGAAACTTGGTGCTAAATGATAATAAGTTACAGAGTTGTCAGCTTTGTCCTTAAATTTTTCCCAATTAATCACAAGCATAATGAAATATCTTAACGTGGTACTCTATCTATATTTTGCAGTTGACCAATTTTTCAAGTGTTGAAAAACTACACTGTCAGTGTAACCATTTAACAGCCTTCAGTGGTGGTGTATTAATAACACCTAATTTATTAAATCCTATTGGTGATGCCAAGTTATTCCTGACATTCTTTGATAACCCTGTAGTTGTAGTGACTATCATGGTGATTTGGGTTCTGTATATATTCTTATTGTGCTGGGCTAGAAGAGAAGATGAGAAAGATCTAAGACAGGTATATTGACAACTTTTGGTGGATTCCCATTAGAAATTGCTCCTTTTGCTGATAAGTTTCACACATCTGAGCATATGCAATGAACGACTATGCCAGTAGATATCATAACAGCTTGTGTAGCCAGTTTCCTAAATTTTGGGTGAGTTGACAAACCAAGTTGTAAAATGCATTTGCATTTGGTGAAAATTATATAAGATATGCTGCTGTCGATATTTTCTTGTATATGGTACATTTTGTAGAGAGGAGTTACCGTACTAGAAGATAATGATAAAGATGATAATTATATGTATCTAGTTGGTGTGTTGACTGGATGGTGGAAAGGAGCTGGTACAACATCAGACGTCTTCCTTTATCTTCGCAGCAGACACAATCAAAGCTCACGCCATGCTTTAATAGATAATGAGCGTCAACAGTTTATGTCTGGTAGTGAAGATTGGTTTCTCTTGACAACACCACATTGTATTGGACCTCTGAAGTCTGTTGTCATATGGCATGATAATGCTGGTAAATCTCCTTCTTGGTAAGGATTTATCATTTTATACAGTTTTTTTCTTTTGCAGAGAGGAAATGAGTACAGATTATCCATACCCATTTACAGCTGGGTTGACTGGAATAATGAGGAAGGGTGCTATAAGTATTAATAGCAAATAAAAGCATTGATAGATTTAATTGCAAAATTTTGCACCCATCAAAAACATTAAACCTCTCCATAAAAAATGCTCAAACACAGAAGCAGAGTGACATCAAGTATTCCCAGACCAGTGAGCATATACTGTCAGCACTCATTTTCACTGAAAATTTTTGTAGTAGAGCTTTGTTTCTCAAACTATATCATTCATCAACAACCATCCACAATTACCTTATGGTGTGTTACTTTGAAACAAGATGTTAACTTAAAGAACCATATTCGGATGGAAGCTACATGAACATGTATTTGATGTATTCAGGTCCAAATTTGTTCTATTACTTGTGATAAACGGATAAAATGGACTGTATAATTTACACAATATTTCGATGTAGGAATTGTTGAAATATATATATTTGATATTGTAGGTTTCTAAAAGAAGTTATAATAAGAGATGTACAAACTGGTGAATCGTGGCATTGTATTTATGATAATTGGCTGAGTGTTGATCGAGGACCTAAAGAAATCAGAGCTGAAATAATTGCCATTGTGGAAGGCGAAATTGTCAATCAAAGCATGTATCAGTTTTATCTGAAATCTAGCCAAGACTTCCGTGATGGTCATTTATGGGCAAGCATCTTTAGTAAACCCATCACCAGCAACTTTACCAGGTGTCAAAGACTGACTTGTGCTCTATCGTTACTTATTACCTACATGTTGGCCAACTTGATGTTCCTTGGTATACCAGACACCATTAATCCCCGTGACCAAGTCATGTTTGATTCCATCACATTTAAACTCAATGATATTATTATTGGTGTGGAAACAGCCTTGATAACTTTCCCCATTAATTTACTAATTTTACAACTCTTTATACGTCTGTCACCAAGGAAACAAGCCAGTGAAAGTAAAAGATCTAAAGAATATTATACCCAACAAGCTATGGGCGAAGGCGGTGGACAAGAATCTGTAGAGAAGGAGAAAAAAGAATTCAAGTATGAATACTGATATTTTTTATAAGAGTTCCAAGCCAACACTGGGGCTACTTTAAAAGCACTGGCAGTGGCATCACAATTTTTTTTTACCTTGTGGGGATACGAACCATGACTGAGCTATTCCACTGTTCCATAGTTTAGGATGACATTTCAGAGATGCATGCCCCTTCACTCAAGCACAGGACTATTTTTATGCCTGCTATGGGAGAAATGGGTGAAGTCTATTAAAAAACAATAGGTGCAATTGGCAAATGAATAAAATATTTCTCAAAACTGCATTTTTTCTGTACAAACCGTTTGTTTTAAATTTCAGGTTTCCATGGTGGTTCCTGTATGTGGCCTGGTCTGTGGCTTTATTCTCATCATTATTATGTTCATATTTTGTTATGTTATATGGGTTAAAGTTTGGTTATGCTAAAAGTTTCTCCTGGTTGATAACCTTTTTTACCTCCTTCTCACAGAGTGCTTTAATAACACAACCCTTAAAAGTTGTTTTAATAGCTGTTTTAGTGACTTTGATACTCAAACGACCAGCAAATTACACACCTACTGTACCAGATGATGAACTAGGCAAGTAAAATACTTTTATTGATACATATACATGGTTTTTGGTTTTTCCTAGCATCACCTGTTTTTTTTTTTTTTTTTTTTTTTTTTTCACAATTATATTAATATACATATTGAAATGGATTAGGGAACAGGCTTTACCAATATTACACCCCTGTCCATTAATGATTCATGTAACTATAAATAATATATCAAAGCCTTTGTCTAACATCACGTATAGGTTGGACTATAGAGTACCATTCAATGTTGGTTGAAATGCAAATGGGATGCAGAGCCATCACTGTTGGGTAATATTCAATAACTTATTCAATAACTTTATAACATATTCAATAACATATTCAATAATTTATGCAATAACTTATTCAATAACATATTCAATAACTTTATAACATATTCAATAACATATTCAATAATTTATGCAATAACTTATTCAATAATATATTCAATAACTTATTCAATAACTTATGCAATATCTTATTCAATAACTTATTTAATAACATATTCAATTACTTATTCATTAACTTATTCAATAACTTATTCAATAACTTAAATTACTTATTCAATAACTTTAATAACTTATTCAATGTGAGAGCCAGTACTATTAAATATTTTGATTCTTATTAAAAAAGAATATGTTGACTATTATTTCGTTTTTAGAGGATAATGAAGAATATCTACACAAGAGAATAATAGAAAAACAGACCATATGGGAAGAGACCAAACGTGAACCTCAACATTATTATATTCCACCCATGTCCAATAACGTCATTCAGAAAATACAACATAGACTTCGTCTACAAAATATCATGAGAGAAGCTTGGAGAGAGATTTTTATGTATGTGTTGTTTGTTGCTATTGTTTTTCTAACTGTACATGGCCACAGAAATCCACTCACCAGCTATATGTTTAGTCAGACCAATATAAATATGTTTATTGATGCCAAATACACAGATTCAATCAAATTTGATGAGGTAAGAAATTACTCCTACCAAAATTATCTGTAATTGAATGAATTAATTTTTTAAAGGGACAGATTCGCCATTCAATTGGCCAATGGTACCCGTGTCTCTGAAACAGAAAAGGAATTATGCGTAGATTTCTACTTCTTTTGGAGACTATCTATATATTATATTCAAGACCCTGAAAATGGCCAACCTGTCCCTTTACTTAAAGGGATAGCTGTGCCATTCTTTTTGACCATACTTTAGTCTCAGAAACAGGATTTTTTTTAGCTAGGTAAGACAATCAATAATAGCTGTGAAATTTGAGTCTTCAAATCCATATGTGTCCAGTATTATCTGCTTTTTAATGTTTAAATGATGACTCGTCATTTTAAGATATTGTGTGATATATACAAAAGACATGTATAGAAATAGTGAGTTAAATTCCTAGTTTAGGTTATTTTTGAAGAAATTATTACATTTTCATAAATTTTAGTACTTCTGAAGACTATTTACATATTTTCAAGACTGAAATTAACCCTCCAAACTGACATACCTGTCCCTTTAACAAGAGCTTATCTTGTGATGGAGTATTTTGTCCTACTTTTCTGAAACTTGGATAATTAGGACTGGCAGCACCATGCAGTGTCCAATAAGGGAAATTTTGCAAGTACAGTATGATTTTCTGAAAAAAGCTGGAACATAAGATTTAATATCATCAAAATTTTGAGTGTAAACCATGAGAATGGCAAAATCAAATTTCAGAATTAGATCTTTTTCATTCTATTATATTATTATATGAATCAAGATGTTTTGATTTTTCATCAAGATTTCCTCAAGAAGTGAGTTTTGGAAATATACTCAAGAAACTTTGCTAGACAATATAGAAGGAGATAGATTGATACAAACTATTGATGGTACATCTTATATACTAGGCACTATAAGACTAAGACAAGTTAGATCTCAAAGAGGTAAGTATTGTTTGGTGGAAGGGAAAGCCACAACAATGAAATATCTTATCACTTATAAAAGTCTTTATTTTACAAAGATGTTACCTTTGGTTCCCAAGTATCAAGCTGATCATTGGCAAAACCTTTTTGCGCTAATCTTTGTTTTGAAATGGACCTGGGGCACATTGTCAGAAGTCAATATAAATTGTTAATATAATGTAGGTACTGATCTTGATTTTTTTTTTTGTGGCTTACTTCCCTCAACCTTGATCTAACGTATTGTTTTGACTTATTTGACCAATTAAATGCTATACTGAATAAGAACTGAACCCCCAATGAGTGAGGAACCTCAGGATTTTTACTGTAAACTTAGTGTGTTTGATAGGTTTGCCTATATAATGCCAATAGATATGCAAATCAGTTCAAATACAAATTAATTTTAAGAAAGAAGGAAACAACTATATTTTACAACTTAGGTTCACAATTAAAGATCCTTTCTAACAGCTAGTCCTTGGCCAAACCTCTTGGCATAGATCTTTCCATTCTTTTAAGAAGGAAGGTATTCATAGAATGAAATATCCCACAGAGGGACCAAATCTCTACAAGCTGTATTTGGGTGTTTAGTTTTGGGGTTTTTTCTTCTTCACAGATGCGTGTGATCTACCGTATTACAATTTATATGGATTGAATAACAGAGACTGTACTGCATCCTATTGGATGGGTTATGATGATACAGGCTGTTATAACCAATCATGGAAAAATGAAGTACCTGAACCAGATAGTCCTGAAAATTTCACAGAATGGAGTTACCAAAGTAGTTGGCAGTTATCATTAACACCATTCATCGGAAATCAGGCTACATATCCTGGCAGTGGGTTTGTCTTGGAAATTCCTTTGAATAAAACAGCAGCTAAAATGAAGCTGCTGGAATTGGAGAAGCAGAATTGGATTGATGAAAGAACTAGAGGTCTCTTTATAGAATTTACATTATACAATCCTAATGAAAACCTATTCTCAGTTCTAATTCTGTTAGTGGAATTCACCAATTTTGCTGCTATTTTACCAATGTATCAAATCTTTACTTCAACTCTGTATTATTACTCTGATGGTTTTGAAATATTTGTGGCTGTCTGCGAGATAATGTTTATTATGTTTATACTTTCCTATACTTATTTTGAAATCAAGAAGTTGTCCATTGATGTCAAGGCATATTTTAAGGATTCATGGTGCTTCATGGAAGTTGGAATCTTGATGTTGTCTTATGCAGCAATCGGAATATATATACAAAGGATTATAGCCGTGAACAGTATTTTAGATCAATATAAAAGCTCTGATGGTCAATCTTTTCTAAGTTTTTACAGAGCACTATCCTGGGACTATTCTCTGCAGTATGTACTTGGAGCTTTAGTCACTTTTGTCATAGTCAAATTTTTCAAATTGCTCAGATTTAACAAAAACATGGTTTTTCTTTCTAAAACATTGCATGAAAGTAGATCCATGCTAAGTGGGTTTGCTATGATTGTGGCAGTATGTACAGCTGCTTTTGGAACATTTACATTTTTAGTGTTTGGTTCACATTTGAAGGATTATTCAAGTCTTTGGAAAACTATCATGACCTTATTTAATTTTGTTCTGGGCGTATCTGATTATTATGGCTTGTTAGCTGCTAACAGTACTCTTGGTCCATTATTTTTCTTTTTCTTTTCTTTATTTTTCCAGTACATATTAATGACCATGTTGTTAGCTATTATCATTACATCATTTCATTTTGTACGAAATAGAGAGAGAGGGAGAAAAAATGAACTTAAAATGCTAAATTATTTATATGATAAATGGAAACTTCTTGTATATAGTTAGCTTATATTTAAATTTCAATTATTAACCAACGTATGTGAGGTTACAGAGTTGATATTGTAATATGATAATTTGGTAATCTTGTTGTTAAGGTAGTTGATTTGTTATTTCAATTTGGATAATGTAGTTGATTTATAATTAAATTATTGAATAATGTAGTTGATTTATAATTAAATTATTGAATAATGTAGTTTATTTATAATTATAGTATTGAATAATGTAGTTGATTTATAATAAAATTATTGAATAATGTAGTGGATTTATAATTAAATTATTGAATAATGTAGTTGATTTATAATTAAATTATTGAATAATGTAGTTTATTTATAATTATAGTATTGAATAATGTAGTTGATTTATAATTAAATTATTGAATAATGTAGTGGATTTATAATTAAATTATTGAATAATGTTGTTGATTTATAATTAGATTATTGAATAATGTAGTTTATTTATAATTATAGTATTGAATAATTTAGTTGAATTATGATTAAATTATTGAATAATGTAGTTGATTTATAATTAGATTATTGAATAATGTAGTTGATTTATAATTATAGTATTGAATAATGTAGTTGATTTATAATTAAATTATTGAATAATGTAGTTTATTTATAATTATAGTATTGAATAATTTAGTTGAATTATGATTAAATTATTGAATAATGTAGTTGATTTATAATTAGATTATTGAATAATGTAGTTGATTTATAATTATAGTATTGAATAATGTAGTTGATTTATAATTAAATTATTGAAAAAGGTAGTTTATGTATAATTATAGTATTGAATAATGTAGTTGAATTATAATTAAATTATTGAATAATGTAGTTGATTTATAATTAGATTATTGGATAATTTTGTTGATTTATAATTAAATATGTAAATAATGTATCAATTAGGTACGGTAGTTCAATTATTGATAATATTGTTGATATATAATGAAATAATTTGATAATGTAGTTGATATATAATGAAATAATTAGATAATGTAGTTGATGTATAATGAAATAATTAGATAATATAATTGATGTATAATGAAATAATTGGATGATGTAATTGATGTGTAGTGACATAATTGGATAATGTTGTTGAATTAAAATGAAATAATTGAATAATAGATGAATTATAATGAAGTTATTATATAATAATGTATAAATTAGGTACGGTAGTTCATTTATTGTGTACATTTAATAATATAGTTGATATATAATGAAATAATTAGATAATGTAGTTACCGAATTATAATGAAGTTATTACATAATAATGTATAAATTAGGTACGGTAGTTCATTTATTGTATTAATTTGATAATATTGTTGATATATAATGAAATAATTAGATAATGCAGTTGATATATAATGAAATAATTAGATAATGCAGTTGATATATAATGAAATAATTAGATAATGCAGTTGATATATAATGAAATAATTAGATAATATAATTGATGTATAATGAAATAATTGGATGATGTAATTGATGTGTAGTGACATAATTGGATAATGTTGTTGAATTAAGATGAAATAATTGAATAATATAGATGAATTATAATGAAGTTATTATATAATAATGTTTAAATTAGGTACGGTAGTTCATTTATTGTGTTACATTTAATAATATTGTTGATATATAATGAAATAATTAGATAATGTAGTTACGAATTATAATGAAATAATTAGATAATGCAGTTGATATATAATGAAATAATTAGATAATGCAGTTGATATATAATGAAATAATTAGATAATGCAGTTGATATATAATGAAATAATTAGATAATGTAATTGATTTGTAAAGAAATAACTGGATAATGTTGTTGATTTGTTATGAAAGAATTGAATAATATATGGCAACCATTTTGATTTAAAATTCATCGCCTCGTACAAAATGAAATGTATTGAGGTTCGCCAGCAACAAAACGGGCTTTTATAGCACCTGTAGCCATTTGGATAATGTGTAATACGTTGCCATCTATTATAACTGAATGAGGTGTGGTTTTAACGACGACGATGGGTCGAAACCGAACTTCTGCTATGAAACATGAAATGTGATGATTTATTATAAAAAGTCCATAGTCTAGTCTCTTTAACCTTATGAAATTTGAGATCAGCTGAAGTATAATTATTGCAGCGAGAATGTCAAATAAAAGTATATAGATTGTAAACTATTGATGGTTTATATCCGGCATATGTCATTGTGAAAGTTGGTATATGTAGAGTGGTTGTCCTGATGCACACAATATTTTGGAATTGATATTAATGTTTTCCTGAGAACAGTCAGCCTGCAAACAGAACAACACTTGTAAAGATGATTCCTTCATTTATTTTATTCCTATATTTAATCTTCAAATGTACTCAAGGTGAGATTCCTTTAATTCATTTACATAATTTTGTATCGGTATGGACATGATTTGAAAGTTTTTGTTGCAGAAACGTTGGTGCAACGGGATGTACAGGTAGTTGACATTGTTTTTTTTATTAGCATCTATATCCTTTGTCATACATCTTCACTGTGTCAAGCCATTACGAGCTTCGTCTTATACCTTGATTGTTATAGCCATCTTTCTTGTATCAGGGAAGTCCTCGACGAGACGAAGGTTGTAACAGCTTGTCATTGTGAAGATGGTGTCTTACAGCTCAATTCTTCAAAAAAACACTTTTCATAAAAAAGGATACAAATCTGATTCGTCTATAAAAAAAACAACCAGCCGAACTCAACCAGAAGGTCACCACGAAAATCTAACTTTCTTAGAACCTAACGTCAGCGGTGATTATGAAATTTTTAACCATTAAGTGAGTCACATAAAGAATTTCGCCAATGTTGATTGGATGAAAAAGTTTCAAAATATGAGAGTGATTTTTCTCAGGCAATCCTCACTCATTTTAGATCTAAGAATTCATTCCATATAGAACATCTCGTCCAACTAGCAAACTGTGCTTGACAATGGCATTGGCAGTTTGACTTTGTTTCAGAATGATTCGACCATTTATTGTGTATTTACTTCTGATATATTGTAGGGTATTTAGAAATGAATGGTGACAGCTTTGTAGATAAAGGAGGCGTTATTAAATTGGAATGTGAAATGTTTAACAGCAATGTTTCTGGAATCAGATGGTTTCGAAGACATTCTTACAGTTTTGAAGAATTGACAAGAAATCAAACTAATGTTCGCATCAAAGAAAAGGTCCACAGAAGAACGGGAAATATTCGGAGTGAACTGAAAATATCCAATACACAAATGGTGGATTCGGGGTTATATATTTGTAGTAATAGAGATTTGACTGAACAAGATAGCAAAACCGTAGTTTTACTTTCGGTCACTGGTTGAATTGTGGGGGAGAAAACATTGAAATGTGAATTGTAGGCTGTATACCCTCATTCCACTAAGCGGCGATCTATTGCGCCACAGATCGCCATATAGAGCGCCACGATCGCCAGAAGCGTTAGTGATCTCCATGATCGCCAGTGTCGTCGGTATACACCCCTGCCCCTGCCTGCACAAAGATCCGTGGCGTCCAGATCGCCATCGGGGCGATACTTGATAACTAAGATCGTATTTGAAGAGCGCCAAAGTTCTCTAATAAAGCCGGTTTGTCGATAATTTGCGCTTCGTGGCGATCTAATAGATGCAGTGGCGCTCTGTGGTACTCAGATGGCGCTTCAATGAGATGTGTTATGGATCTAATGGCGATCTGATGGTACTCCAATGGCTCTGCCAAGAAGGGTTACAACAAGCTTCAGACCTGGTTCCTGGACCTGCCTCATTTTGGTGTCCTCATGCTAATTTTTGGGGAGAATCTGAAGTATTTCATTGAAAGGGGCTTGTGTCCTCTGCCCTCTTTTTTGCATGAGTGTGGCATATTGGCCATATTAAAGTCTCCTATCAGCAGCCAAGCAGGTCTAAACCAATAGGACTACCTTCTCCTTCTTCTTCGAAGTTACTGGACAAGGTTTGCATGCATGGTTGACGATGGCATGATTGAAAAGAAGGGTTCATGATGGAATAGATGTTATTCGTGTTGTGTTTGGTATTGACCCACCACTATGCTGTCAAGCGTAAAACTGATGAGCGCGGAAGAACGGTACAGGTTTTTATAGGATCTCGCCTTTATTGGATCACTTAGAGAACTAAGTGAGCGATAATGAATCTCCATTGGTCGCCGAGATCGCTTTTAGATCTAGCTTGAGCGCCATATATCGCAGGGGTTGCCCTTGGAGCGCCAATATAACGCGATCTTACTCAGTTCGTCTTGGATACCCAACGGATCGCAACATTTTTGGGGAATTGGGTGGCGACCAAGGACCATGAAGTCGCTAAGATCGTTACTGGAACGCCTTTGGAGCGTTTTCTGGTCGTACGTATCCCTAATCGCCCTGTAAAGGAGAACTTGGGCGCTCCTTCAGAGCGGTAGATCGCCGCCTAGTGGAATGCGCTTATATAAGATTTAATAATAAATATATTAATAGGCTATTTTTTCTTTTTTCTTGAAATCTTTGATAGCCTATCTCTGAAGAGATCTACCAAACCAGTGCAGGTTACGTTTTACTGCTAGCGCTTTGCACCATATCATGGTCACTGGTTATCATCACGAGCATGAATATTAGAATGTAACCCTGGTCATAAATTCCCTTTAGCACTTTGGTTTCATGAATGCTAAAACTACGGTAAGAAATCAGAATATACTTTAGAGAACAAAGGATTTTCTAATTACACATAGAAATAACTGTATAGATAATAACAATTTCATGGATGGACCACGGCTCTGAATGGACCAACAGATCCTCAAAGAAGCAACAACTGTTATCATTACCTCGATGTACCTATGATATAAAGGGAGGTAATTCTGTAAATAAAAACACCGGAAGTTATAAAAATAAACAATAAAACTGGCGTCAAAGTGTTCACTTTACAAGCTGTGTTTTGTTTCAAATACTTCATAAAAACGATGTACTGATTTATTAGAGTTGTAGTGGAATCGGAAATGGCAGACTCAGATGATGAACACGATGAAACAATGTCTGATGATGACATGGGGGTATGTTGCTTTTGAAAGTACCACACAAATCGTAACTAGTAATGAACGTAACAAATGCCCCTGTCCTGGCACGATTTCCCTCATTTCACACTGCATGGCTTTTCCCATATTCATTAGCTCAATCAAGTTCTGGAAAGCAGGGTCAGTTCATGAAAAAGAACTACAACTACTTTAAGTTTATTTGCTCTACTAGGCAAAAAGTGAAAGTCGATTCTGTCAAAGTTTTCTTATTACATGTGTATAAACATTTTGTTGGCCCGGAAGCTGCGATATGATAAATCAATCAATTTGAATTATAAATCTATTTTAGTCAGGTGATGATGGCGATGGAATTGATGAACAAACGGTTCAAGAACAATGTTTAGGATCTCTGACAAGGAAGGATTATATCATGGAACCAGATATATTCAACGTTTTAAAAAAGTAAGAATGCATGATATTTTATCTGGTGTTCTGGTTATTTGGTTTCGACTACCAGTTGATGAAATATATCCAATATTAAGTTTGTCTAGAATTCATTAAAGATTGATTCCTATATTTCTTCTTTTATCAATTTAGGTATTTACAAGCTGGAGGATCACCAGAGAAAGTGGTAGATTTATTATCAGAGAATTATACAGCTATAGCCCAGACTGTTAATGTTCTAGCTGAATGGTTGATTCAAATAGGTAGGTAGCTATAAAGAAGGTAATCTGAATGATTTATTCTTTATTATGTAGAGAGTAAGTATACTGTCTTTAATTCAGAAGAGGGATTCAAAATCACAAATAATTTTGCGATTTAACAGTCAATGACATCCTTCGAAAATCAAAAATTCTTAGACCTATGAATCTATGTATTTTTTTTTATTTAACAGGTGTTGATATAAAAGAGGTACAAGTCCTGGTAGAATCTCACTTAAAAGAAATGGTAATTAAATGTTTTGATCCTAAGAAAGCTGATTCTATTTTTACAAGTGAAGGAGAGGTAAGACGTAAAGAAAAATTTTGGTATCTGGTCCTATTTGTTATACCTACCATGGGTGTACTCGATTGGAGCCTGGGTTAGACTCGAGTCACAACCAAACTGTAATATTTTCTAGAGTTGAGACTCGTGTGACGTAATATTTGACCTAGTTAGAAGCTCGGGTCCAACACTCACTATTTGGAGAGTCAAACACGAGTAAACATGGTAGCATGGAATGTCTATATATGGTCAAAAGTCCCGCCATATTGCCTTAACTCGATCAAATTCGATTGCAACCCTCACTCGGCATGCGCATTGAAAATAAGTCACCCCATGTGATCTCTTAATGTGCACTTCATGGTTTTAACAATGTGAGCTTGTCAGAAGCATTGTATGTAAACCTCCAAATAAGGCTTTAACTATTGTTATTAGCTTAAAGTAGTACTTTTAAGTCCATTCAACATCTTGCTGTATTTCTTTGTCTACATCTTTATAATCTTCTTTATCTACATATTTCAAATGATCCTTATAGGTGTTGGTTTGTGACATTTTGAATCAAAAAAGGGTAATTGATATAAAAATAGATTTGTCATGTTATTGTTCATAAATTCTACACAATTGTTGGCAGAAACTGTTTTCTATTACGTTAATTATTCCCAAATTCTTTTTTAGATTCCGTCGTGGTTAGCTGAAATGATAGAGTATCCAACATGGCGTCTGTTATTTTATAAATTAGCCGAGGAATATCCTGATTGTCTTATGTTGAATTTTACTATTAAGGTAAGGAATTGATATTTAAAAAATATATTTAAAACTAATCTTTGCATCATAGTATCTAACATAGCACTTTATTTTTGATGTCTTGATTTTGTAGTTTTGTGATGTGTGAATTCTGCTGTCAATGTTGTTTCATGAAGCTGAATGAGTTCATTTAAGCATTAAAGTCATTTAATTACTACTAAATAGAACTGAAAAACCAGTGTTGGAATTAAGTCCTGGTAAGCCAGACAACCTGATTTTCCAAAATTTTGTGCAACCATTGTCAGAGCAGTCAATCCAAAATAGCCAAAATAACTTCTGTCTTTTTACAGTTAATCTCTGATGCTGGTTATCAAGGGGAGATAACTTCTGTCTCTACAGCTTGTCATCAAATAGAAGTTTTCTCCAGAGTGTTAAGAACGTCTATTTCATCATTTCTAGAAGGTGGGGAGGACGCTATAGAAAAAAATCTTCAAGAATTTACTGTGAGTAGCCTTTCTATATGAATTTATTGTATTTTTATCAAGGCCTAGCCTATCTATGACTGTGTATTTTGAAGTTAATATTCAATTGTAAAAATTTATTTACAGACAAGTATAAACCTGTAGCTTCTGTTATTAACCTCCACCCAATTTAAGTGTATTTGAACTACATGTTATAATGAATAGTACTGGGCTGCTTACTAATTGTATTTTAATTTTAGAAAATGGTTTGCCATGGAGAACACACTTACCTCTACAGTCAAGTTTTAATGCATATATTAGCACAAGAACCTAAAGGTGGTTTTAATATTAGAAGATTGTGTCAAGAGTTACAGAGATGTGCTAATGAAAAGTATGTAGACTTTTATTACAGTTATTAATGGGTATGAGCATAAAGAGTCACAATCCTAGAATGATCATTGCCAAGGGGTTGAGAATCAGTTAAAGAAAATAAAATCTAGAATTACACATTACATTACAATATTAAAGTTTTATGTTGCTATCATTTACTTAAGGGTATAAGATATAGCACTTAAAAGCTAAAGGACTTTTGGTTTTTTGAATATAAGGAGATTGGGTAGATACCTCTAGGCTTAAGGACATTCAAATTATTACGAATTTTAAGGGATTGGGAATGACTAGATTAAAGGACTTATTTATTATTCAGTTTGGGAAATTGGATATAATACCTAAATGACTTCCATATTATTTGATTATTTCATTAGCTTGAAGGTATGTAAGATGTACCCCTCATAGGCCATTTTGATTTTAAGTATAGGATTAGCATACAGGATTCAAATTGTTATTATTAATTCTAGGGGATTGGATATAACGCCTATCACTATGGCATTATGTGGTGCTGCAGCTTACCCTCGTGCCTGTCAAGCTTTATCTTCTATGTTATCAAGACAGGCTTTGAACCCAGCTGATATTACAGTGGTAAGTTGTTTTGAACACATTAAAATGATGTCATATGCTTTGCTGATTTATGTTTCTAGTCCAAATATGGCAAATAGTACTCCTGTTTTCAAATCAGTTATCCTTGTGATTTGGTGGATTATGATGGGAAAATATTTGAAATCATATTTGAAATAGAACATCCACTTAACACAAATGGTAAATCAGACAAACAGCCACTGTTGCAATTATTAATAGGGAGTCAATGCATAACCACCCTTTTGTAACATTGTTTACTCCATTGTGGCTTGATTTGTCAATTCAGCATCTTGTTATGAAAAAAATAATGTATATCAATATTTCCAAGCTTTTTCTATAGTTTATTTAATGAATGTACCTTAAACTGTAACAAATATGATTTAGGTATGGCTTGTATAACTGCAATAACTATTTATCAATTCCCCAGAGAAAAGAGATTTTTTCTTTGAAACATCATGTGTATAAATATCTCTGTTCAACTATATTTACAACTATTTATATATTTTGCAGTTATTTAAAATGTACAGTGAAGCTGACCCTCCTCCAGTTGATTTGATCAGAGTACCAGCTTTCTTAAGTAAGTACTGTGTAATCATATATATTTGTGGGCAAAGGCACCAAATTTTATGGACATACTCATTATTTTACAGTGAATTAACAACTGATTCAAATTGAAATTTCGAATTATTGTTTCGTTGAATTTCTCAGAGTGAAGTGTTTTAGTTTGAATGTTAACTTGGAATATCAAAATCAAAATCGATACAATTTTGAACCTAGAAGTATTAAAACAGAACCTAAAAAAACATGTTGTTACTCAGAGTTTCATGCTATGCGATCTTCAAACAACTGACCTATATAAGTCCCCCTGTGTCCCTACAGAAGTTGAACCAATTTTAAAGCTATATTACAATTGAAAAACTGTGGATAAAGTTTTAGCTACAACAATAGTTGTTTCTGTATATTTGTAGATTTGTTGATAGATACATTATTTAAACTATCATCAAGAATTAATCCAGACCATAAATCTAAATATATTTACTTACTAGCTTATGCTGCTAGTGTAGTAGACATATTAAAAAAGGTAAGTGACCATCATCATCAATTTTATAGTAGTCTCATCAACAAAGCTTACACCTTGGTGTTTCTTTGGACAACTATAGATCAGAAAATCAAGGTGCTATAATTAGAAGGTCTCTTTGAAAATTCATGTATTGGGGCATTTCAACTTAATAGTTAAACTGACATTATATAGTTGTAATTTTGTCTTTGGCTGGAAAAACTGGTATGCTAAACTAGCGAAAAGCTTGATGCTACATTGCTTTGATGTAGTCAGTGATTCTGGTCGGAGGGGCTGACATGGAAAAGCATCTAGCCCCGTGTGCTACAGATTATGCACGTTAAATATCCGTTGACAACTGGAATTAAAAAAAAAAAATACAGCATGTTAATGTAGTTGTCCTGACAAAATTCCCTCATTGCATGGTGTTACCTGTCTTCATTAGCCCAATCAGGTGCAGAAGAGTAAAACCCCATTCATTTCATTTATTGTTTGTCTTATTTTATCTCTTGACATTATTACAGGGAGGTAGGAAGTCAGTAAATAAGGAAGAATTAAAACCAACAATACAAGCTTTAGAAAAAACACAAGCATTATGTACTGACAATAAAGGTTCATCGGAACTAATAGCTGATGTCGGCACTTTATTCCAATGTTTAAAGTAAGTTTGGACCTTATTGATTTGTTTGTTGGCACCCTTGATATTTTGCATTAGTTTTCCAACACCAATCAAAATATGTATTTATTTTGTTTAAAATAGTGTCAGATAATGATAGGGACAGATTTCTCGAGATTTTGGTCTTTATTTTTCATTAAATCAAGCACTTAACTTTCTCAATCTACTTATAAAAAATCTGACTGTCCCTTACTCATATTTGAGTTATTTGGAATACAGCTCACTATCAATTGTGCTACTAATGTTTGGTTTAACTTGAGAGTTATGGTTCTATTTTCTATTCTTCAAGGTTTCCAGTTGTGTCTATGGGTGTGTTAAAATGGGTAGATTATGTTGTATCAGAACCAAGTTATTTTAAACTCAATACAGACCATACACCAATACATCTAGTCTTAGTTGATGAGGTAAACTTTCAGATGTTTTTTTCAAAATTTACTATGTATTATGTTCAATATTTATCTTCCTCAAGTACAACAATCCAGATTTTAAAAAAAGCCAGAAAACAAATTTGCTACCTGTCAATAGCCTGTATTTTCATACTGATATAATTTGACAAATGTACTTTATTTTCAGATAGCAACAAATCATATACTATTACATCAAAAAGCTTTAGACTTATTAATAAGATTATTTGAAGGTTCTTATGAAGAGTTAGATGTACTTGTCAGGGTAAGAATTAGTTATTTTCTAAACTATTTATGTGTATCAGGGGCACTGAGAGCATCAATTTATACCAATCCAATTTTCAGTCAGACACCTGTGGTTCTTTTAATTCCACTAAAACCATTATGTCATTATTACCATAGGTTATTTGATATTATAAGGAACATTACTCCTAAAATATATGGAAGATACCTTTATTTATTATCTTCTCAAGCAGAAATAAGGTGCTGCTGATCATTTCTTACATAATAGGCATTTTAAACAGCAGTCATATCCAAAATTTGTTTGAGTAGTCAAAACGTGTAGATCCCACAGAAAAGTTTCTTTTATAATAAATTACTTTATGAAGTGTATTGAGGATTTATTATGAATTCATATATTTCTTTCCACATTATAGTTAGAATTAAAGAAAAAGTTATTGGACAGAATGGTACATTTATTTAGTGGTGGGTGTGTTATTCCAGTTGTTACTTATATTAGAAAATGTCAAGATACACAAGATACAGATGTTTCTTTAATTAGATATTTTGTAACTGAGGTAAGATGTCACTGTAATATTTTGTAACTGAGGTAAGATATCTTTGTATAATAAGATATTTTGTAACAGAGATATGATACCTCTGTATAATAAGATATTTTGTAACTGAGGTAAGATACCTCTGTATAATAAGATATTTTGTAAGTGAGGTAAGATACCTCTGTATTATAAGATATTTTGTAACAGAGGTAAGATACCTCTGTATAATAAGATATTTTGTAAGTGAGGTAAGATACCTCTGTATTATAAGATATTTTGTAACTGAGGTATGATACCTCTGTATAATAAGAGATTTTTTAACTGAGGTAAGATATCTCTGTATAATAAGATATTTTGTAAAATAAGATATTTTGTAAAATAAGATATTTTGTAAAATAAGATATTTTGTGACTGAGGTAAGATATCTCTGTATAAGATATTTTGTAACTGAGGTAAAATCTCTGTATATTTTATAACTGAGGTAAGATATCTCTGTATAATAAGATAGTTTGTAACTGAGGTAATGTATAATAAGATCATAAACACTCTACAAGGCACAATTCTTGAAGGATTTTCATGAAACTAGGTGAATTGTCCAAGAAATTCACCAAGGAAAATCAAAAAATATTTGATATGAGTTATTGCCCTTGTTCTTTAAAATTGTTTAGCTTGTTAACACTCAAATGGCATCATTTCTTGCCAGATTTTGACAAAGAATATTAATATTGTTCAATATTAGGCCAAAAGGAAGTGTATTACTAAAGGTTGATTATTTCACATTGGTGATTGTTACCGTATTATATTAGGAAAAATTCTTTTTTAAAAACAAAGCTGCCAGAGCTATCTTGATTTTGTAGATTTATTTAATAGTTACTATTTATATTTTAGGTATTAGATGTAATAGCACCACCATACACATCTGATTTTATACAGTTATTTTTACCACTAATAGAAAATAAAGATATTACTGGTTCTATTAAATCAGAAGATGGAACAGATCCAGTTTCAGAATTTATAGGTACTTATTAAATTATGAATGGCGAGTGTAATTATTTGCAGAAGCTAGAAACATAAGTAACACCAAGGGTAAAATTCAGTTTGGTAATTTGATCAGATAGTTTACCAAGCCTCTGATCTGGAAATCTGTCATTGATTTCTGTCTTCTGATTTCTGTCTTCTGATTTCTGTCATATTGTTTGCTATCAGCTGCTGTGAAACAACTTAATCTTTAGTACTAGATTTCATTCTGTCTGTTAAGAAAGATATGACATTGCTTTATATATCTATCATCTCAAGTTATAGTCGTTTGTCAGTCTAAACAAATGATATATTTTCTTATTTCAGTCCATTGTAAGACGAATTACATTGTCAACTGAAAACTGTATGCTGAAATGGTTAGCTGTAATAGTATTATTAATCAAGGAGACAGTTAAATGACTACAGTGAGGATAAGTTTAAGGAATGAACATGTGGACCTTCCAGCAACATTGAACAATATTCACCACATAAACGCTCATGTGGAAATCTTTATGCTGGATCCAGTTTGTCTTGTGCTTGATTGAGTCTTGTCTCTGAAGTCAGAGATGATATTTTTAAAGGTGTCCCACACTAAACATAAGTACGGTATTAAAATAGATTAGTAGTACATAAACACCAAACAGATGAAGAAAGTATGACAATCGTGTTAGTAGATGAAGCTAAGCAGTACTTTAATCACCATTACCATAGAATTAATGCGTGAAAGCTGATCAGGACCAGATTAAATTATCATTTTTTACATCTTTGCTTGAAGTCATGATATTTCAACATTATTCATCCACTAACTAATGAAGCCTTAGTACTTTTAAGCAGAAAGTTACAAAGTTTTATTGTGATGAATTTTGCACTTTGAAATCAAAGAATGTATTGAGCTGCTCAGATTTCACAACCTGATAAATTGATGGTGCTTAGTGATTGGTTATCATTTTTGCCATGGATATGAAAAAAAGTCATGGATTTCTAATAAAATCTTGCATTTCAAGAGACTTTTTCTTGATAGTTCATTACCATTATGTCACAGATATTTTTTATATGAATAAAGGTAAAGAATGTTTAAATACAATAGTTATAGATTTTTATACTGATGATTGCATTATCATCTCGATCCATTAAAATCATACAGTGTTAGTCCACATCAAGACCTTCATATGCAGCAACAAGTTGTTCCTGTAAACTAATTACCAGTACCTTTGGACTGCTACATCTTCAACATACAGCTGGACGGAGAAGTAAAATGTAAAATGGTTTCGTAAGCAAGATGGGATTTCATCAATCCTTTTTTTCGATTTGGACACAGAACGTCCCAAAGAAGGGCTTGAAGTCGTCTGACATTTTATGTCCATGGTGGATCAAGGAATAATTGAACATATGACTTAGCAGTTCTTGAGCATATATATCTTTTTCTATATCATACATGTTCAATACTGAATGTAGGATAAATTGGTCACAGGGTATTTGACCACATTACCATGTGGCCATATCATTGGGAAATTTATTGTGATGTGACCAAATAACTGAGACTAGCATGCCTGCAAAATATTTTCCATGGGTTAATTTTCCAATTTACTGCACCCCTCTATCCTGATCCTGCAGTTTCAAAACAACAAATATATTCATTCTCCATAGAAAAAAAAGAAAAACAGACATACTTAATTTCTAAATGTATTAAGATTTTTCAATGAGTAGGCTACAAAAACAGCTACCAAAATAACTAACATATATCCTAATTTTGTGATGAATCCAGTAAAGTTATTCAAATTATCCATGGCACTTTTAGCTTTTCGCTTTTCACTTTTGGTTAATTTCTTAGGTCGTGTTTTAGCATCATTCATTATAGTTTGAGTGATATATTTATAGAGCTTCACTAACTTTGGATACTTTTCGATTGTTTTTAATATATCCTCTTTATCTGGACAGCCAGCATGTCTTAATACTAAACACTTATTGAAATGATAAGCAACAGCTCCATCATAGACTTGCCATAATATTGGTTCTTGGAAAGGTGACTGTAGAAGTTCATTGAGCAAGAGGGTAAATAATAGACAAGATTGGTATTGAGCATAAGAATGAAGAACTTCAATAGGCAGACGGTCTGACTTGCTGAATTTCCTTCCATTTTCTGAAGGTTCGTTAATTTCACTGTTTAAATCTGGGACATCTGATATTGATAATGACTCAACAACTTCATCAATGCTTTGAACATTATTATGAAACAAGTTACTCATTCCTAATTTCTGCTTAACTTCTTCATTATTTTGATCTAGGCACCTCATTTTCAGAAATATTATAGTGAGAACAATTGCTTCAAGTTGAATTAGTGAAACATTGGAATTTGACACCCAATAACTTAATACACACATCAAAAGCTGATCTACTGGACTGAATTTAGAAACAAAACTTTCAGCAACACCTAAAGTATGAATCATTATAGAGCACTTTTGGTTTTCACTCAAACTTCCAACTTCTGATAAAGATGGCAGTCTTCCATGATTAGTCAAATTCTCTCTTGGATCAATATAGAAATGTCCAATAGATTTGGCACTTCTATCCACTTCTTCAACCTGAGTATTTCTATTTGATTTACGTTTTCTACCATTTTTGGTTTCTTTCACCTTTGATGATCCTTGAAAAAGTACACCATAAAGAACTTGTCGAATAAACATGGTCAATTTGTGAGAGGATTGCTGAGTTATCTGCTCTTGTTGGCATGGTAGAAAAACTCTATGGAGAACAGCCATATTCTGTACAAGTGGAGATATTTCTCCTTGAAATAGACTATGAATAAACCACTGAGGTAGGGGTTGGTTAAAATAGTCATTTTGTGTTATTTTCTTCCAATCACAAGTATTTTTTACCACATCTGCCACTATAGATTTCTTTGAGTCAATTTTCATATAGCTATTCAACGACTGATCAATCACATGTTGTAAGCTGGCAACACCTCCACTGGTCACAAAATCTTTTGTTATTGCATTTCGACCTTCTTCAAAGGTTTTAAACTGATCAAAATAATTCAAAATGGCTGTTATTTTTGACACAGCATTAGATGCGGACTTGATTTTGTACTTTTGTCTGTTGAATTTCTGAGTGAACACAGAAAATGTGTCGTATTTGATGAAATCGTTTCCAAGTACTGTTGCTATTAAGGGAATCATTTCTGGTTGAAAATTGTCCAAAATATGATCATAGTGGTCAAAATGGTACTTTTGAGCAGAAATATACCGGACTCTGGCACTTAACTTTTTGGGACGAAAATCAACATAGTTTAAAGGAAGAAAACCTGCTTTTAAATTGTACACAAAAAAGTCACTATCATTGCTGATTACTGGACAGTTCCACTGATTTGCAAGAATTGCAATTTCTTCATCTGCTTCAAAGCTACAAGTCACATGAAACACATCGAGTTGATCTAGAGCTTTCCGAAAAGCTTTACCAGCCATGATAGGGAGTAGACTGCAATTATTAGATGCTTGAATAACTCGTCTTTCAGCTCGATCCAATGTAGTTCTTAATTTAGAATCTGACACATCATAACCTCCATCAAATATCACAATCGCCTCTACATTACATTGTTTCAAACTGTTAAAAAGCTGGACAATCTTTCTATAATAATTATGGTAGTCTCCATCATACTGGTGTGATTCATTATAGTTTTGATACACAAAGTGTATAAAATTGTTACCATCCAATATAACTTTACAGTTAGATAGTTTGAAATCTTGTAAGAGAACTGGGTTGTCGTCAATAAAAGATGTCAATCCTTTCACACCCATCTTCTATAGAAAACTCTGGAAAAAACAAAGGCATTTAAGATTCAAACTATCAATCAAGAGTTTTCTGGACCTTTTAGCATATTTACAACTTCTTCTGAATATATTAATCCAGCCAGTGTCTGTCTGCTGGAAGTAGGCAGCTGACAACAGTCAAAATAGTCATCAGAGGCAGGAATAGGTACAGATATGATTCGGACTACCTATTTCAATGTTATGTTAAGACTAGGTCTGAACTAGAATAACTTCATAATCTTAGCAGTCAATAATATATCGGACTAATGAAAGAAATTGTGACAAACTAAGGTTGTGATAATATTCCAATCCGATCGGATTGACATACATACGGTTTTTTATGAATAATGTCAGATCTTATTTTGTTTCAAGATTATTGCATCTGGAAAGTGGTGAATTGACTTTCTCCTCATTCAAGGCTGACATGACAGAGTTACATAGCTGATTACTTCTTGCAGCTCAACGTGAAATTCTAACCGGAAGCGCTACTTTTGCTTTGACAAGAAAAGACAACTCGTTCAGAAGCTCCGTTAATTTTTCTTGAACTATCTTCTCGATTGGTTATATCAGGTTATTATGATATAATTCATACTTAAGAACGAATTCGAGTAACATTATTAATGGATAATTAGACTAAAGGTAAACGAAAGTTCTGTTACTTTACATTACTGCACTGATTTACAAAACAGCCATGAATGAAAGCCAAAAGATAGTCCGAAAAGTTCCGCTGATATCCATTCCTAAGTTTCTGTTATACTTCTCTTTTCAGTGCCATTATACTAAGATGTATTCAAGATCTTACAGTAACGATATAGTGATTTATTTATTAGCTGCCTTACTTATTAGATTAGGTTTGGTAGGTTATGGTGAATGGCAAGATAGGAACATGGTTCTAAAATTCACTGATGTAGATTATCAAGTTTTTACAGATGCTGCAAAATTTGTTCATCAGGTAAGATATAGCTTAAATCTTTTTCATGCAATTTGACATAGAATAATATAAATATATGACATGAGTTAGTGAGTGAAATTAAACTATGCTTAATAAAGCTTAATAAAGAAGTCATATTCAAGGTCACCAAATTGTGCATGCACAAAAAGACTTGAACTCAGATTGCCATCATATATTTGACATAATACTAGCAAATTAAACAATGTCATGATTCCAATGTCCAACATGACTAAACATAATATACATATATATACTCACACATGGCAAAAAATTTGGCTCAAAGACTTCATGGCTTGACTATGTGGCTGTCCTTGGACATGAATAAGACTACTCAGGTCAACAATGTATTATAAGTGATGCATATTTACAAAGATCATGATATATTGCTATGAAGAATCAACAATTATCTGCAGTAGCCTATTAAGTATTTTTTACAGAATTATATCTAATTTCTATTTGTAGGGAGAATCACCATATAATAGAGCAACTTACAGATACACACCAATATTAGCTTTCATCTTAACACCTAATATCTTTTTATCACCAATATTTGGTAAACTAGTGTTTGTAATATGTGATGTGATAACAGGATACCTAATATATCGTATAATGAAACATGTTAGATATTCAACTCAGCAAGCAATTATATACTCTTCAATGTGGCTCTTTAACCCCTTACCAATAGCTGTGTCTGCTCGAGGGAATGCTGAATCTGTGATGACCATGTTGGTGTTATTAACAATGATGTCATTGTATCATGAAAATGTGCTTCTAACAGCCATATTGTATGGACTAACAGTTCATTTTAAGATTTATCCAATAACTTATGCATTAACAATATATTTATGTCTGTCTCCAAAAATAGTTCACCGTGATACCTTCTCAAGGAAACTTATTAAACTTTTGTTACCTAATAAAAGAAGACTTGTGTTTGGGATTGTGAGTGTTTTGACTTTGTCAGTTCTAACAGTTGTATTTTATCATTGGTGAGTAACCATTTTTGATTCTTAATCAAGAAGTTGCATTTATTATATTTCAATAATATGAGTGTTTTGAGTTCAGTGAAAATTGACCATGTGTTGGATCATAAACTGAGTTTTTGTATCCTGATTTTGATTGATTCTTTCCTGGGTCAGGACAGAACTTTGATATTTGTCAACCCTATTACCTTGACATTTGTCAACTCTATTACCTTGACATTTGTCAACCCTATTACCTTGACATTTGTCAACCCTATTACCTTGACATTTGTCAATCCTCATACCTCGACATTTGTCAATCCTGATACCTTGACATTTGTCAACCTTGTACTTTGACATTTGTCAACCCTGTTACCTTGACATTTGTCAATCCTGATACTTTGCCATTTGTCAACCTTGTTACTTTGACATTTGTCAACCTTGTTACATGGGTATTTGTCAACCTTGTTACCTTGACATTTGTTAGTGATTTATGGTTGACTGACTGACATGAGCTTTTATAATTCTGTTAATTTTATATTTTAGGTATGGGTGGAAGTTTTTATATGAGTCCTACTTATATCATATAGTCAGGAAGGATATACGCCATAATTTTTCCCCCTATTTTTATATGTTATACCTAACAGCTGAACAAGAGTCTGAGTTGTGGATCAAACTTTTAGTATTTTTACCCCAGCTCATATTAGTACTGACTTTCTCTGTCAAATATTACCATGATATTCCCTTTAGTTGGTTTCTTATTACCTTCATATTTGTGACAACCAATAAAGTGTGTACTTCACAGGTACGTCCTTTTGTATATCTCATTTATGTCTAGTCTGATCAATCAAGTCCTACCAATTAATATGATTTAATGGTTAGGTCCAGACATAAAAACTGCTTTTTATGAGAGTTGACCGGATCCATTTTTGAATTGCTAGTTTTTGAGAAACCATGACAAAAGCAAGGACATAGTAGAATATCGGGTAATGTCTTGATAAAGAGTAATATCTTTGAAAACACAATCATATTTATTTTCTTGTCAAATAAATGTGTCTTTGGCAAAATTTTGCATGGCTTCTGTTGTGAACAGAGAATAATCTTTGATATTTCAGTACTTTTTATGGTATCTTAGTATATTACCATTAATAATACCATCTATACAGTTATCATGGAAACAAGCTGTAGTGTTGATAGTACTATGGTTTCTTGGCCAGGTTGGTATATTTTTCTGAAACATGTTGCATCCATCTTAGATATAAGGGGGCATGGCTGGAGCTGGAACACACTATTAGGGAAAATGAACGGAGTTTTACGTCATGCTTTTCTGCACAAGGTGAAAGTAGACAAGCCTTAATTGTATTAAGAGTTCATAACAACTCGTATGTTAAGCACTGGGCGAGGTCACAAATAAGGAGATCTGCTAACAAATAGGGTGGAGTTAACATTAACTTAGGGTGGAAAGGGGGCGAGGGGAATTGTTCAAGAGTTATAAGATCCAATCGGATGGATTGAGTCTTGTCCTACATACTATGTTGTCTGGAATATTCCATGTAATTTGTCCTGGTTGATATTTCAGGGGTTATGGCTACAGCCAGCATATTTATTAGAATTTCAAGGACAGAATATGTTTGTATGGATATGGCTAGCTGGATTGTTATTCTACAGCATTAATTGTAGTATTATTTATTATATTATATATTATTATAAACCATTATTGCCTGTACCTCAGCTAAAATCAAAGAAAAAATAAAATTTACATGTGATTTTTGTTACATTTATTTTCTTTGTAAATTCCTGCATAAGAGAAAAAAATCATGAAACATGCAAGATTTGCATTTCAGATTGTTAACATTAATAAGGTAAACTGAGTTAATAATTGAACATGTATTAAAGAGCTATGTTATTTCATTATTATTCACATAGCAGTTAGACTATTACATTATTCACATTAGCTCAAAACCAATCATATTTTACATCATTAAAATCAGAATTGATTAAGCTATTCAATGATACTTGCAGATGAAGTTTACCTTCACACAATTTGTGTGTTTAATGATATCACATAGGCTATTCCTTCATATGACGTTGCCATCTTATCAATGGATGACATAATGTGTCTTACGATTTGTTCAAAATGAGGCAAGACTATGGGCATGAATAACGTTTATAATGGGAATTCATCCCCTATTCATATCACCATAACTACAGTAGGTCAATTATATTAATGCTTTAGATGCTTTACAAAATGTACTGAGTAGCTTAACCATTAACATGCAGCAGGAAACAAATACCACAATAGTCTTGGCAATATCTCTTCAAATGCCCCATTAAAGAAAATGAATGTTTCCAATGTTTTGACACAGAAAAATTCAGGACCACTTGAATTACATAAGTAATATGCTAACTGTATAATTACCCCATTAAAACCATAGTGATTCTATAAGGTCACTTATTTCCACATCACTAAGTGATCAAGAGTCAAGACAAATTTATATTTAATAAGACAGTATCCTACATGACCCAAAATAGTGCAAGTAAACATAACTCAAAATTATCACTCTTCAATAGAATTTTCATGAAGTAATGGTAAAATTTCATTAGTTAATTTCAGTCTTTCATTATTCCAGGTAAATTGGGTTGGTGGATTTTCTTCACCATTTTCAAATTCGAAATGTTTACTGAATTCTATTGCCAAACTAGATTTGATAAGTCCAACACCTCCGTATTTTAAACTAGCAGGATGATACACACGACCTGACTGGGGTAACATACAGACTTTTTCAGGTTCAAACAAGACGGTTAATAGGTCTCCAGCACCACCATATGATAAATAGTCTTTGTTATCTATAAATTTTGGAAGTATATGAGTATAAACTATAGGTCTATCATCACAGTGAATAAAATTTCTTTCTCTACCACAAGGTGAAATATAAGGAAACTCTTGTTCATATCTCCCACTTTCATTCTTCTTTATTCTTGTGAAGAAGAACTTCAAAAATGCCTTCTCTGAAAATGATTAAATTGAACAGTCAGTGCATAAAATTATTATATAATTACTATTATAGCTCAAGCTAAGCAAAGCATGTAAAATCTTAAAATTATGTACTCAGTACTGGTGTGTCAAATTGTAATTCAAGAAAGAAAAGAAACAGGAACCACTATATTTTACAAGGATAAAAAAAGGATCAGACAGCTTAAAGTTTACATTACCAGTAGGCCCCTTTACACTAGTAAATATATTCTTGAATTATTGAAAACCTTACAGCAAAGCTTCAGATATGATTTTAATCTTAACAAGAAATTCTTTAAATGGATGCCTCTTTTGAACGGTTGAATCAATCTATTAAATGAACATGCAAACTCGGAGAACCAATAAATAATAAAAGTTGCTCACCCTTAAAACATGATGTGAAGTTTTTCATTTTGGCATCATCTAAAAATAGCTGAAAGGAGATCATGATATTAGAAATACATGTAAACAGAAGAGATCAGTTGGGCAGTAATTAATCAATTTAATTGATTTCAATTGTTGTAAAGGGGCAGTGTCTATGCTACATAGATAACTATCTGAAAGTGAAATTATATAAATCCAACCAACCTGACCCTGATGATCAATAAAGTAAAAATATTCTCTTATTTTAGGCTCTGGTGATTGTCCCTGAACATAATGAATATTTCTTCTTGTCAAATTGTTCAGAACAGTTGAATACTTTGATTGCAGTAACCTTTTCATGGTAAAATCTCCTTCTTTTTTAACAGAAAAGGTGTCAGAGTATACACTAAAGTAAAAGTTTATTTACACCTAATTATCTCTATGCGCATGACATTAATTTTGTATCTAAACGAAATACCCGTCAGGTTATCAATGGCAAATCGTGCGTTTCTTTTTTTAGTTTTAAAGGAAACGAAATCCTGCCTGAATAGAACTAAAACTAATAATACTGCTACTCATTCTTGAAAGTCTGTAACGTAATTTTCTGATAATGACTAATTAGACACAGTGTCAGTGCACTATGATGTAGAGTGCCTTGACAACTTTGCTTGGGTTGACAGGCCTCGATTTTAATCATTGAAATACATGTAATTCGAAAAATCCGCTTCGTTATAGATTATGAAACGGGTCTGTATAATCTAGATATGCCTAATGATCCGAAGAAACAATGACACTTCTTATACTGTTAGTGACTAAACCGTGATAAATAACTTTTGTTTACTGTACGGGCTGTGTGTTTGGATAGGCATAAGTGACTAATATAAACCTACTTTAGAACAATTATTCTGATTGGCTTACAGCGATAATCTATTTTTGGTTGACGAATGAAATTATTGTTATCTTTGTATAGAAATCGATTCCATTCCCAATTCCAACATGTCGGACAAGTCGTGAATGTTGGATGAACTATTTTGTGCCTTAGCGATCTTGTCCGTCCATGACAATATTGATAGAGAGAATTATTGTAAACTTATATTTTAAGACTTAGACAACAGTTCTGTAATGTAAAATGGCTCAACAGAAAAGAGGATGGAAACTTCGTAAGTATATTCTGGCATGTGTCAGTGAAAATATAAAAAAAGGACCTTTTTTTCGTTTATTGGTGCTCCAGATTGAGAACTACTTTATTTTCGTGATTCTTTCTTATGTTCACTTCTGATACTGACACGATTTGTCTCCATTTGACTGACACACACCTTTCTTTTCCTCTCTAGCCAGTTTAGGTAGTTCTTAGAGTTGATACAATTTCAGAGTGGATTTGTGAGACAGAGTTTGACTGTGAGTGTGATAGTAGTAGGCCTAAACTGTAAACCTATTTCTAATAGCCCATTATTACTAAAATTAGGATTGATCTAATTCTTAGCTTGCTTGTTAAGCTTTATATATATATATATAATCGTCAGAGATAAAACTATCAAATACTAATTTAATATCTTGTGCTTGGTAGGATAAAGCAGACAATTTTATCCCTAACTTTTTATTCTATAGCCATGTAACAAAGTGTTTGATCTGTATGGGAGGTGAAGTGCTGGTTTATAAATGTATAACCTATTCAAGCCCACACTTCTGAAAAGTTTTTTCAAAATTAATATTTATGTGATGGATAGATCCTTGGTAAAACTCATCAATTCTTACAATATAGGCTTTACAACAAGTAAACGTTGAGATATCTTGTTTTTGTTTTTTAAAGACATGTTACTTTATCTTGCTTGATACTGCTGCTATCTCCAAATGAAACTTTATACCAAAACTATTTAACCTAGACTCTAGAAAGTTACTGCTTATCTGTAAGCTTAGAATCAGCAAAATGTGTTACTGCACATCTATTCTTGACCCATAGAGGCACAAGTCAAGATATGTGGGCAAGGTTTTTTGATGTTCTCAGTTCAAAGGATCAGTTCAAATATTTTTTGTCTTGGAAAATTACCTCAACAATGGATGGAATAGCTCGGCTTATATGCTCATTTTTTCTGAAAGTAAGCTGGCATAAGCTTACAAGCTTACACAATCTGAAAACAGAAATATTTTAAGAGAAGCCAGGTTATGATCGCCAACTTATTAGTATTGAAGATAAAACAATACTGTTGTTTTGTTTATTTGATATAAGCTTATATTAGCTTGTGACTATACAGTATGAATACAGTATTCGACACCTTCCCTAAGGTTTTTTAAGAAAATTGTGACTTGAATTATATCTACTATGCTATCAGTTTGCATAAAGCTAATTTATGAGTAATCCTTCTAAAGCAGCTTATATCATTGTTTACTGTATTTTCAGAGGAATTTTTGGCACATGGTGCCAATGTACAATGTCTCGCATTAGGCCACAAGTCAAGCAGAGTTATGGTATCTGGTGGAGAAGACAGAAAAGTCAATCTGTGGGCAGTTGGGAAGCCAAATTGCATCATGGTGAGTAGCTATGGATTGTTGTTTTGTGAAAATAATGGCCTAAGTCAATCTTGCATAATTCAATTGTGTTATGTCTGAAGTTAAGATTCTTATTTTTTTGAACAAGATAGATTTTTTCATCATCATTCATTTATCATGCCAATCTTCCGTACTTTAAGGGACTGATTTTTTTTACCAACCATAGTCTCAGAAACGGGAATATTTTAGCTAAGCCGATCTGTAATAGTGTTCACAAGGATATCTATGTTTGAATGTTAAAATGACAACTCGTCAATTTAAGATACAATTTGTGATATATAGAAAAGACATATATAGAAATAGTGAGTAAAATTTCTAGTTTGAAGTATTTTTAGAGGAATTTTCGATTTTCGTACATTTTTAGTACTTCAGAAGACTATTTACAGATATTCGAATCAACCTCCCAAAATGGTGCACCTGTCCCTTTAAAAAATGTTGTATTTGTCCAAGTAAATTGAACACTGAATGTGATTGGTGCAAACTAGCTCGTTAGCTGTACTATTCCTAAAGTTGTGATACAATGATACCTTTATCAGTACTTATACAACAATACAATTAATTATGATAAAAACTTCATCTCAACAGAGAACGGATTAATAATATTCGTTAATCATTATTCATTGGTACAATCAGTGGCGAAATATTATTTCATATCTACATTTTCTCCTGCAGATGGTTTGTGTATATTATGACAACTTAAATAATGCGAGTGTTTTTGGCATCATATGACTGATCAAACCTTTTGAATTTTGAAGAGTATTAAGAGAAAGCAATATCATAGAATCACAGAAATGGCCTGGTTTTTAATTTTACATTGGCAATTATTTGTTCAAATTCAGTTTTTATGGTTCCCAGTATGGAAATTTATAATCCATAATAATATACCTTTTGTGTGCTTTGAGCATATTACTTGCCTCTTTCACTTTTAACACTAGTTGGGTAGCAAATTATTAGTTTAGAATCAGTGCAAATTTTGAGAAGAATGTCTACAAGCTTTTTCTTGAGTATTACATGAAATGATGATGATGTGTTAGATTTAGCTTTTATGAAATCAAGTTGTAGTATGTAACCATGGACAGGTATTTCACACAAAAATATGTCAAGCATACTTAACCCTCAGAAGATTTGTTTAAAGTGGTCTGAATTGTTGTTGAATTAAAGAAGAGTCCAAGTGTATCAAATTTGCTAGTCGTATTTGTCAAAGAAATTGTCATCTAATTAGTTTTAATAGGTTTGACTGACTGACAAGACCCTGAGAAAACAGTAGTGGACTAACTAGTAAAAACTATGAACTGGATAACAAAGGTTAAAAGTGACATCATCAAATATTAGCAGACGGACAGTAAGCTGACCTTTTCTTAGAGTACAAGACATCTCAATGAAATCCTTTAAGATGGTTTGAAAAAACTGAAAAATTCCTTTTCGTGCATATCATATTTGATTTCTACAGGTTTTCTAAACTTGTATCAGGAACACTTCGATCTGCACCATTCCAATGTATAGTCATATGCCTGTGGTTTTGTATTTCAACTAAATCTAATCGTTTTATGACATCACCATTGCAAAATAACATCTGAAGACCTTTGTGATAGTGATGTTAAGTTTTAGCTGTATTGCATGAACTACAGACTGAAAATTGAAACATTGGTGCAAATGGCTATAACACATATGAGATTGAGAAAACCTCCTTAATTTTCTATATATCATGACCGTTTGATTAGTTTGAGAATCTAAACTGATGAAACTGTGAGATGCGATGTTGTTGAGATATCTCATTTGATGTTTTCATTTGTCAGTGGTTTGTAGAAAACTCTAGAGATTTGACCAACCAATGTGGTATTTGGTCAAGTTAAAAACAACACATTACTCTTCATGTAATAATCCATGTTTAGAATTCGCTTCTTGTGTGCATAAATTGCACATTGTAAAAAATAAGATGTTTAGAGTTGAAGCAGGAGAGTAATGTGTTGAATTAATTGTGCAGTTAGTGTTGACTAGTATTAAGTGACTGTATAAGTAAAGAAAGTATTGTTTATTTACCTAATGACTCAATCAATACCAGTATTCTAAATAACAGTTGACTGGATGTCGCAGGCTTTACAAAACTAAAACTAAAACTAACAGATAGCTCTTTCAACTTTATGAAGTATCAAGGCTGCCAGTAATATTTGGAAAAAGAAGAAGTGGTACTCAAGAAGTTTTTAGTGGCTTTTCGGTTAACCAATCCCCACTATGTTGCCTTTTTGTTTACTGATAATATTTGTGTGAATTGGGATATCACAAAATTAAAAGTGCTTTGTCTTAAGATTGACGCTGATATAAATATAATCAGCGGCACCACATTGCTATGAAGTCATTTTTTTTAAGTCTAATTTTTGTCAAAGTTAGTTACATTTTTAATCAAAGTTTGGGACTTTTTTGTCAAAGTTTGCGACTTTTTTGTCAGAATTTGAGACATTTTTTGTCAGAATTTGGGACTTTTTTAGTCAGAATTGGGGACATTTTTAATCAAACTTGTAATCAATTTGTAAGTTACAAACTTATCAAAACTTCTAAAATTGAAATGAATTGGTGCAGTATTTTTCAATTTGAAAAAATCCCCTTAAATATGACAAACATACTTGAAAGAAAAGTGAAATAAACTAGTTAGGTAGGTGGGACTGGCTAGTTCTCTAGTTGAAAGGAGAAGATTGACTTTGTATTCACCAAGTCACTGACAAGTTTGTGACAAGCTTATTACTTCAGACATATTGCTGGTTTTATTGTCTTCAACACATTTTTCTTGTGTGAACAAGTTTTTGTTAAATAGCCTCCAGTCCTTTTTTTAATATGGACTTTTTAATTAGTTTTGGTTTGATATTTATTATTGATAGAGACTGAAGAAATCTTTTCCAGCTAGAAGAAAACTTGAATACTGTTATCAAATTTGTAGGAACAAATGAAATATTTGGCTTCAAAATTGACTCCCAAAAATCATAGTTATAATAATAGTACTCTTTACAAAACAACTATTATATAACTGAAGATTAATTATAGCATATTAAGAATTTGAGCCAACTTTTAAATTTTTTGCCCAATTATAATCTTAAAGAAGATATTAAAAAAATTTGATTTGAGTCTTGAATATATGTAAATAGTCTTCAGAATTACTAGAAAATCACGAAAATCACTTAATTCCTTTAAAAAAAACTAGGAAATTTACACTTATACGGTACTGTTTTTTTTGTATCACTGAGTATCTTAAATTGATGTGTCGTTATTTTAACATTCCAACGCAAATAATTCTGGACACACATAGATTTGAAGGCTCAAATTTGTACATTGAGTTTTGAACACTATTGCTGATTGGCTCAGCAAAAAATTTCCTGTTTCTGAGAATAAAGTGTGATTGGTTAAAAAGGATGGTGCATCTGTCCCTTTTTGGCTATTTTTAATTAGAATTTTTCTGGATTCAAATCTTGAAAAATCTGAAATTTTGGACCAACTTCAATTTTTTTTATTTACAGACATTAACAGGTCATACAACAACTGTATCTGCTGTAAGATTTGGTAATGCTGAAGAAATGGTAGTTGCTGGCTCTCAATCTGGTGCATTAAAAGTATGGGATTTAGAACAGGCTAAAAGTAAGTATTAAATTCCAAGAGCTGCAAAAGTTGGAATTAGATGACTTTGTCCAAACTTTGTCACTAGCAATTTAAGCAGCAACAAAATTTGTAGTGAGTGATTGCTACTAGTACTAGTTGCTATGTAGAACATGTCATGTTTTAAGACCATCACAAAATTCTTAGAACAAGCAAATCTGCTTTAGATTTAGATGTCAGCCAATGTTATAATTTATCTTAATTCTTAATTTTTTCTATTTATAGTAATGAGAACTTTAACAGGTCATACAGCAGGAGTCAATGCCCTTGATTTCCATCCATTTGCAGAGTTTGTTGGTTCTGGTGCTCTTGATTCTAATATAAAAGTAAGCAAAAATTTCGATTCTTTAAAGATGGGTTCCCTTTTTTTTTCATTTATGAAAATGAAAATGCTGATATTTATATGAATAAAAAGTAGTGGTGTTTTAATGACTTGAAAAAATACCAGTCCATAATTAATTCATAATTAGCTAAATTAGAAGAGAATTACCAGCAGAATTGCAATGAGTGACCGATTAAGAAAGAAAAAGTCTTTTTTTTGTATATCTAGACTTTTACATGTACATTTATGATTAGTTAAAACTCTTAATTATATGCAAAAAGAACATAATGATATGATTAAGAATACATGATAATTCATTAGAAACACCAATTAATCAAATAGTTGGATGGTCTCCTTTTGTTGCTATACAGTTACTATGTTACATAGTCATCTAAACAATCATTAAATTTGTGATACATTTTATTTTACAGTTGTGGGACATCAGAAGAAAGGGGTGTATTAAAACATATAAGGTAAAAAGACTCTCTCTTAAAATTCACAAAATCTTTTTTCTATTGCTAATATTCATGAATACATAACAGAGTTTTCTTGACAACAAACAAATGTTACAATGAAAACTAATCAAATCAAATTATAACTTGTTGTTTTTAGGGCCATGCAAATGGGGTCAATTGTTTAAGATTTAGTCCTGATGGTAAATGGATTGCCTCAGCTGGTGGAGATGGCATTATTAAAGTAAGTCAGATTCAAATTTGAATCCAATGGGTCATAATCGTGCATGATTCATGATTTGGTAACTTTGTTTGCTTTTCAGACCTATATGCTTACATTATTTCACTTCGCTATTGTGTTACAATCTCCTTGCTAGTTAGATGTAGGGTTGGGTATCGAATACTGAATTGAGATCGATTATCGATGGCAGACTACCAATCTAAAATTGATTAATAATCGAAATAATTCAATTGTAATCACTAGATTAAAAACAAGCTGAAGGAAACCTATGTGGAAGAGATGACTACTTCTTAACAGGGACAGTGGAGAAAATGTAACTTTGACATATAATCGATTATGAAATTTGATAATCGACATTCAATAATCGAAATTCCTAGCATTGATAATAAATTATTTCAATCATTTTACACTGCCCTAGTTAGAGGTTGGCTGGTACATACCAATTATATATAAATAAGAATAGTCCACTTTAAAACTCGAATTTGATTACATAGAATATATATTGATAAGAATGATATGTTTTGTAGTTATGGGATTTGGCAGCAGGAAAATTGGTAGCAGATTTAAAACTACACCAGGGCCCTGTTAATGTTGTTGAATTCCATCCTAATGAAGTTTTATTAGCTTCAGCTAGTTCAGATAAGTATGTACTATGACATAATGATTTAAAGAATTTCATATTAGCTCAATGTATGACAACTTTCTGAAAAACAAACCCAGTTATCTTCTGGAAGGTTTGGGATTATTTGCCTTGATAGGTCAATGTATGCAATATCATTAGATTGAAAATAATAATTTTTCCTCAATTTTTATTTTCAGAACTGTGAAATTCTGGGATTTAGAAACTTTGAAATTAGTAAGCTCTTCAGACAAAGAGTCAAAACAAGTCAGGTATGCTTCTATTTTTCTGTTTTGTAGTTGTAAGAGTTAGATTGTTTAAATTGGTTAACGAAAGAAAACATGGTGTAAAGATTTCTTCTTAATTCCTGTTTTGTGAATGGCTGATACATTTCACTTGTGTTGAATGATTAAATATTGTTAAAATGGCTGCTGAATTAATCATTGAAACTATACTGCCTGTCATACTACCACCATTATTGGATTTCTACAAGAATTATTTTAGTTCAATTAAATGATTTGTATTCTATGATATATTGTAGTTCAATGTGGTTCCATCCAGAAGGAAAATGTCTGTATGCTGGAGCAGAAGACAGTTTAAAAGTATATGGTTGGGAGCCGTATGTTTGTTATGATAGTGTACCTCTTGTTTGGGGAGCTGTCTCAGATATCTCATTTAGACAAGATCAATTGGTAGGTTTTCTATTCTACTTATATTAGTTTACAATACTATAGTCCAGTCCAATTTAAAACATTAACATATTATAGTTTACTATTATATCAAAATGATTTTGCTTTTCAAAAATGAGACAAAATATTCCTCATTGCTTAGCTTTATCAGCATTGAATTTTCTTCATTGGATTTCTTGTCATTTCTACTTGTATGTTTTCTTAAAAATGTCTGAATTTATTGATTTCAGATAGGAGTAGCTTTCTCACAACTTAATGTCTCAGTTCATGTTGTTGATCTCAGTGTAAGTATTTGTCACTTTGGTTCAATGAGTTCACTCACTGTTTAATGCTGTATTTTTACCCCCATGTCCTATCAAGTATCCAAATCAACAATTTTAAGATGTGCTTTTGTCAATTTCAGAACAAGGAATCTATTTTCCAAACTTTATCAAAAAATCTTAAGGCTTCATACTCTATCTGATCTTTATTCCATCTCATTATAAATAAATAAATTAATTTCTTGTTATATAGAAAGTACGTCCAATGGGTGTGAATTCTGAACCAGATATTAGACCATCTTTATCAAGGTAAACATTATCAATATACACATAGTAAGATTATACTGAAAGAGGACTATAGTCATATCAACATTACTTCTGGTTGTATATATTAGATATTCTCTAGTGAGGTTTAAAGTTGCTCAAAACCAGATTTCTAGTCTTTACATTGTGACAAAACATTTAACTTTGATTATTATCACATTTTGAATATCTCAAGTATGGTGCAGAGTGGTCACTATTTTAACAGAACATTGTAGGATTCTTTGACAGTGTTTAATTATTAGGATGTGCAGTAAACACCAACTTTATAACATATATCAACTCTTGTGACCTCCTGCAGAGCTATGTCTAAGGTAGCTTGTGATACATATACTAGCCACCAGGAGTTCTTTTGGTTGATTTTGGTTACAACAAATTTATAGTTAAAGAATAATGTATTCTATATTGTAGTAGTGGAAGAAGAAGTTTTATGTCTGATAGACCACCAACATCTTCAGCTAGACAATCCAGGTATATTTTTCACATATTGCCGACCATATCTAAAATAATGCCAAGAAAAGTAATTCTCAATAATCAATACAAGTTTTTGACCAATTGGATTCCCAGTTTACTCATAACCTAAAGATACCATATCTTGGATATGTTTAGAAGTCTATTTGCAGAAAAGTAGGATGTAAAACTCCATACATTTCAAATCACTGTTCATTCTTTGGAACAAGTGATTTCATTGTATAATCTTATAAAGGCTATAATTTGATGAAATTAGTGTATGAATTGTGAATTCACTGATAAATTTCGAAAACCTAATGTTGCTATGTATTTCGTTTATGAAATTATTTATGCAAAATAAAGGCCAAATTTGTTATCACCCTTTGTAAGCAAATTCAGTTTGATGAAATAGTAAATGTAAAGAAGTGAATAACATTTATATTAATAAATAATATTTCGCATTTATGTTTTATTTTTCAATCAACAATGTGTACTGTTAATGGTATAAGATTATATATAATGTTATTCTAGTGTAAATAAAGAAGATGAAGAAAGTAGTGTTATGTCTGATAATGTAGAAGATAATAGAGCTGATATCCAGAATGAAGATGATTATAAAGAATTATTTAGAACTCGATCTAAAATAGGTAAGGGATTGTATAATGGTCCATAAATGAAATTTCTTGATGGACAAAAGCTATATGGATGCTTAATTTTCAATGACATCTAACATGTTCTATTTAAGCTGTATTGGAGCTCTAATAAACACCACACTGGCTACCAGCTTCTTGTGAAATCTTGATCTAAGACATTCTCACCTAGCTTTTTGATATTTATTGAAATTTTCCTTTCTTCATTTTGTTTTTTGATCTAAAAGCACCGGAAATTGGTGTTATTAGTTTGGGTAATGATGATTTGGGAACCATAGAGAAAGGTTATCAGTCAGTGTTAATATAGCTTTTTGTCCAAAGAGATATATTAAGTTGGTTATACTAACTTTAGAAATCAATAGTTTCTTGTGAAGTGCTACTATTTGTGTTATTAATTTGAACTGCATGAGAAGATTGTTTAAAATAGGTCTTGGTGATAATTAATGATATATGAATTCATATCCTTGAAGATTGGTTTCTTTATTTTTTAGTGTCAAATTAAGCAAACTATTTGATTAATTGGTGTATGTAATGAATTATCATGTAATCTTAATCATATCATTATGTTCTTATTGCATATAATTAAGAGTTATAACCAATCTTAAATGTCTGTGTAGGTACAGTCTGGAAAAAAAAAAAGACTTTTTGACCTTTCTTGATCTGTCAATCATTGGAATTCTGCTGGTAATTCTCTTCTAATTTAGTTAATTATGTATTAATTATGAACATGTGAGACAAACTGGTTTTTTTCCCAGTCATTAGAACACCTCTTCTTTCTATTCATATAAGTATTAGCATTTTCATTTTCATTAATGAAAAATAAGGGAATCTATCTTTAATATAGATGCTTTTATTCACATTTTCAATAGTTGGAAAACAAAGGCATGTCATATCTTTAATGACTGAACAGCAAGCAGACTGTTTACGTTTTTATTAAAGAATCTGAAATGTTGTAAAATATTTCAGTCAATGAAAACTGCTGTTGTACAACTAATCATGATCATAAATTATCAAAACTAGGTGAATTAGTTTATTAGTAAATATGTATATGTATACGTATATTGTCGGCACCCTGTCCCTCGGTCTGTCCGTCTGTCCGTCAACATTTGCTTGTAAACGCTCTAAAAATAGATTTTTTGATGGAATCAAATGCAATTCGGTATGTGTATACATATTCATAAAGCAAAGATCAAGTTCGAATTTGAGCTATTTTCGACCGTTAGAAGCAGAGTTATTGCCCATGCCCCAAAATCTTGAATATGCTATTACTCTCTTTGTTTTCAACCAATTTTGATGAAACTTAAAATGGATGTTATTGGACCTAAATCGAAAGGTTTGAGAAAGTTTAGTTTACTTCTGATTGAATTTAAGGCTTTTTCAAGATTTAGGCCTCATACATCAGTTTTAAGGAGTTATCGCCCTGTAACCTCTATACAGTAAGTGCTTCTATCAACATCAATTGCTCGTAAACACTCTAAAAACTAGAGTGTTTGATGGAATCAAATGAAATTCGGTATGTGTATACATATTCATAAAACGAAGATCAAGCTCAAATTTGAGCTATTTTCGACCGTTAGAAGCAGAGTTATTGCCCTTGCCCCAGAATCTTGAATATGCTATCTTAGTTTTCAACCGATACCATCCGCATGCCGTGGTGGGCGTATATTGCTGTGGTCCACTATCTTTTTATACGCCCACATCTCTCTATGTGGATGTATATTGTCCGTCAACATTTGCTTGTAAACACTCTAAAAACTAGATTTTTTGATGGAATCAAATGAAATTCAGTATGTGTATACATATTCATAAAACGAAGATCAAATTCAAATTTGATCTATTTTCAACCGTTATAAGCAGAGTTATTGCCCTTGCCCCAAAATCTTGAATATTTACCATCCGCATGCCATGGTGGGCGTATATGGCTGTGGTCCACTATCTTTTAGTCTGATTTTCAAAATCTTTTTAACTTTCAAAACATACCAAGTACATAAATGCATGCCTCCACTTTCGTTGTGTACATCCAATGTTAAAAATAACTAACATGAGTGTCCATTTAAACTAGAGAATAATATATGTGTTAAATATAAACATGTGAAGTAATTCACCATTGCAATGAACTGTTTTTGTTTGTTTGTTTGTTAGTTTGTTCAGTTGTTTATAATTTGCATCATGTTATTACAGCTAGATCTCCAGTACGTCATTCAGAACCTTTCAAACCACCCTTCGACGATGGTAAGAAATTTAGATCTCATTAACATATCAGCATCTCCATTAGTAAGAGACTTCTTTTTGTCTCATTAATGAGCCATTTTTATATGCTCAATTGAAATGGGGGACGTATATTGCCGTCAATTGTATCCGTCCGTCCATAATTACTCATAAACACTCTAGAAGACACAATTCATGACTGATTTTAACGAAACTTCTTATGGTTGTTTGTAATCACCCAAAGATGAACCCAATTGAAAATCAGAAAAATCTAAAAATATTTACTATGAGTTATTGCCATTGTTCTTGAAATGCTCGTAAACACTCTAGAAATTCTTGACAGATTTTGATGAAACTTGGTGTTATCACCCAAGGATGAACCCTATTGAAAATCAGAAAAATTGAAAAATAATTAGTGTGAGTTATTGCCCTTTTTATTATTGCCCTTTTTATTGAAAACGTGTTCAATTTTAGCTTGTAAACACTCAAGAAGGTTCAATTATTGACAGATTTTGATGAAACTTGGTAATATTATTCAGTATCGCCCCAATAAATTCAAAAGAAGTGTATGACTGAAGGTTGAATATTTCATACTGGTGATTGTTACTGTACTTTATTTAAAATTAAAGCGGCCAGTGGGCATATAATACTTTGCTTGGCAAGCTATCTGATAACATTTATGTGTCATATACCTTCAGCTTCTCAGCTTTTTCAGTCAATACAGTTAACTTTATATTTAACTCACCTGTTGAAAAAGATCAATTTTTACATGCCCATTATTTATGAATGTAGATTGTGTGGTCACCCAGATTGTATTGTGTTTTCTATCATTAGACTCTATATTATAGAGGCTACTCTAAATCCCTTCTGTGTGTGTCTAATGCGTCATGAACAACTGTTGATTTTTAATCAGATAACTTTGTCAATACATGCATGCTTCATGAGTATTCATCACTTCCTAAACAGGTTGATTTATCTTGCGGCTGCACCTAAATCATTTAAAATAATAATATCTCAAAATATTGTTAATACAATGAAAATTTTGTCTAAGAACTTGTACAGGTGTGGTTCTATTCACTTTGCCAAAAGTTGGGTGCATCAAGTATTTTCATAATCTAGATTGCAATTGATCTGAAAATTTTTTAAAATATCTGTAATAAATGAAACATTGAAATGTAAATAAAATTTTATAAAACCCAATGAATGATTTTCTGCTAATTTCTTTTCAGATTTAGAAAGAGAACCAGTGAAACAAAGTCCACGAAATGATGCAAAAAGTTCAGATGACAGAGGTCGAACAAAAGTGAGACGTGCTGGGAGTAAAAACACTGATCCCTTATCAGATAACCTTGACGAACCTAATCAGTTATCACCTGAAGAGAAATACGCACAATTAGAGACACAAGAAGAACGGAAGCGGCAAATAGCAGAAAAACAACGCTTACAAGATAAACAGAGATTAGCAGAAAAACAGAAAGAATTAGATAGACAGAATGAATTAGAGAGTGAAAGAAAGAAAAAGGAAGAAGAAAGACAAAGAGTGATAGATCAGAAACGTAAAGAACAACAAGATAGAGAACGTAAACAAAAACAACAACAACAACAACAATCTGTACCTGATAGAATAGAAGCACCCACTAATACTATTGCTGCCGAAGATTTTCTACCTGTAAGTTATACCACTGGCTTTTGATGAAAAAAAAATATGTGCAAGTTTAGGATAGAAATGTTAGCTACATCTAATGCAAAGTCTAAGTGAAGGGGACTGTAGCACTGTTGGTTAGAGTGTTGAAAACTTTCATGTCTGGTAAAGATCAGTGACCTGAAAGGATCCTACATGAACCTAAGCATTAGCTTTGTAAAAAAAAAAATGGCTGTTTCTTGCTTTTTTCTTCATCATTTGGGCTGAAATTGCCAGTGAAACTGCATTAATGTGGCAAGATGTCCAAATCTCTTACCACTAAAACAGATTTCTCTTGTTTAGGGAACTAAAATGGTGTCTTAAGTTGTGAAAATCTCACATGTTACGTCAATTGTTCAATGAAGATTAATTATGACGTTTTCTACTTTCATTCCTACCCTTGACATTAAACTTGTATTTTAATAATTTTAGGCTCATGCTACATTAAGTGATAATAATGCTCCAGCTAATATGTCTGAGAATGATTCATTAGGTTCTATAGATAAAGGTCATACAGCCATGTTAACTGTAATGTCTAGTAGAAGTAGAAATTTACAGATAGTTCGAGCTATGTGGACTTCGGGCAATACAAAGGTAAGTTTATCTTAACTTAAGAAAAAATCAATGACTGGGATTATAATGTTTGTTATGCAGGTCGTTTTCCACCAGACAATTTATTTTGTGCAAAAGCACTTGACAAATTGTGAAATCTATAGTTATAGAAGACACAAAATGTCAAATTTCAATAAAGATACCTACTAAGAAGAATTTGTATTTATTGACTTGTTCTTGGGAAACGAAGAAAAAGATCTCTGTAATCTGAAATTATTTTTACTAATGACTCAGACTGAATGTTATTCAGGAACATGTCACTTTGGTATATTGGACCTAATTCTGACACTTGTATTTTTATATTTTTTATAATTCTTGCATCAGATATTTATAATGCTAAATATTGTAGCAAAAAAGTAGAATCGATTCCTTCTCTTTTTTTGCTAAAAGGTGATATTGTTGGCAGGAAATTTTAGTAAATTTTATGAAACAGGTGCTAGTTTGAAAAAACTACTTTGTGCTGGAAACAGTCTTAAAGTAACTTATTGGTCTGATTTTGCAAAGAACCTACATAACTAAAGGTTAATAATGAAATGTAAGAGTAAATTATGCCTATTTATTGTAGACTGCTGTAGATTCAGCTATTAGTATGAATGATCAGGCTGTAATGGTAGATATTCTCAATGTTTTAAACTTTAAACCGTAAGTTGTTTATTTTGTTTATATATTTTACTTCACCCTATAACAATTAACATTGAAATTAAAGTAAATTATCCATAAATGGTTGATAATGGTTTACATTACAAACGAAACATCAAGTAGTGCCATTTCGTGCATCATAAATGAGAGTATTTGAATTGAACAAATAATTTTTGATTATTATTTCAGTACCTTATGGACATTAGATTTATGTAGTATACTATTACCGCAACTTAAAGATTTATTAAATAGTAAATATGAATGGTAAGTTAAGTCATTGGTGGATACTAAATAAATATTTTTTTTCCACAATATAATTAGTAATGCACTCTATGGAGGTCGCCATTTTGAATTGACAACCTATACTAAATAAACCCATTTGTCATGAATAGTGTAACACAAAATGATTTGTAACAATACATTGTGGGTGACTGCTTGAAACCTCGTATAACGATATATGATGTGGAATTACTTTTCGAGAAAAACTGAAAAAACTATTTGTACGCGTATTTTGTTAAAATCTTTTTTATTGTTTTTTTTTACTTTTATACATGGTTTTCATTCTTTGAAAATTTAAACCTTGTATAACAATTTGAGTACTCTGGCCTATTGAACCAATAACTCGTATAATAATACAGGTTTCAAGCAGTGACCCACGTAATGGGATCAATGGTTAGACACAGAAGACTAATTCTACTCTTGAAAGAACAATTTGATAACATGTTTATGTTAAGAATTTATTACTAGTTCAAGATGGGAAATATCTTGCACATTACGGAAAGGGAAATAATTTTTTGTGTTCTCCCTTTTCCCCAGTTAACCAGATTCTATTTGTCAATGGTCTTGTGGAACTGGCTCAATGGCAAAGTCATGGTCCTGGTTTGATCAATACTAAGTTAATGATATTATTTATATTTTAGTTATGTGACAACAACGTGTCAATCTCTGAAGCTAATATTAAAGAATATGGGACCAGTTATAAAAGCTAATATATCTTCAGCTCCTAGTATAGGTGTAGATATTTCTAGAGAGGAGAGGTAAGATTCTTGTCAAATATCTGAATATTATTGATTATAAACCATATTTTATATGAATTGTAATATCAACTTCAGAGTTTCTCTTAAGAAAATATACATTTAAAAATGTAATAATTTGATGCTAGCTTGTGAGTAAGCTAGCTCTGACTTAGCTTTTAGCTTTCATTGGAAACACAGTTACTAAAGTAATCCAGTTGCCAAACATATTAATATATTTGCCATTTATCTATTTCTTGCCTGCCTATAGCTAATTATTAATATTGATGGTGGAAATAAATGCTGATATTTTCTTTTGTAGACACCAGAAGTGCAATGCTTGTTATCAAACATTGATGGCAGTTCGTACTCTGATAGAGAAACGTCAGGCGATTCCAGGTAAACTAGGAAACATGTACAAACAACTTCAAATACTTATGGGAACATTGGATTAACTATAACTGCTGACTGACTGACTGACTGACTGATATTAGTTTGTCTCTCTGATTGTGTGAAGAATTGTGATCTGATAATAAACACTGACTGTAGCAACCATTATCACGTGTTCTATTTAAAGCCAGATCTTTAGCTCGTTCATGTATTACCAAGAATTTCAACTTACAACTTAGATAACGTGCCTGAAAAATGGATTTGGGAAAAACCAGCTTGGATACCCTTCAACAAGTTTGTTTTGCAAGTTTTAATACTATGGTACAATTTCTATTTCTCTCTTATGTTGGTTTTGGATAAACTAGACTGTTTCCTCAAAATATGTACCAGTTTGTGGTCTGCTGAAACAAATCAACGAAAGTGTCTCTTTGTGATCAGGTGTATCTCCTAATTGTAAATAGATTGACTATACTGTCAGATAATAGCCAAGATAATCCCAACTTTTTCCACCAAAAGAAAGCCATTCCAACATATATATTCTATAGTGTACAAAATGTCAGCAAGCATATCACCCATACAAATTGTATAACTTTTCTATTATCAAACCACATTCACTTCAGTAGAATTCTTACGGTTGTCAATTGATCCTGCTCATGTTGATTTTATTGTATTTGCATGTAAAAAGACATTAAAGAATTTGGATTAAATGACAACATTATGAATTGACATCATCTGGTGATAGGATTATATGTATTAGTTATCATTTGAGTATATTGAATTTTCATCCGTCTTAGAAGACCATTTAGTGAAAAACTTGCAGACTCTACGTCTTGTAGTTATTTTTGTCAGATGAGAGTTTTTTTTTAGTAATTTTCCACAGATCACAATGATATAAAACCCATTTTCTATGCAATTCTTTGCTGAAAATTTTTGAAAATTCATAGAAACATTTTCATTTTTTACAAAGCCAAAGTTTGAAGGATTTGATAAATGAATGAAGAAACGTGAATTTTGTGAGAAACAGAAAGTTCTAACTCGTCTGGGTTATAACTGAAAAAAGCAAGATTAAAGTCTGCAGTTTTCAAACTATTGACCAAAATGTATTTTATAAACAAGGGTGAAACAGGCCTATATTGAATATTATTGAGAGCGTTATTTTAAAAAACATATTTAGATTTAAAATGATGTAAATAAAAACAAGTTGGATGTTAAAATAGCTAATGAGCTAATAAGTCATTTACATTATTGCATTATAAAAATAGTACCCAGTACATGTATTGGTATAGGGCAATATGTCAGTTCTGTATTCTGAACTTAGTAAATATTTTTCTAAATTTGTGAATAAGATACTATATATTATTTAGTATGTATTGTTGTGAATATCTCATATCATTCTTAGTGTATTTCATGAATTTCAAACGTATTCAAAAAGAACAAATATGATGACCTTTCCAATTCTGGACATTCAATCTTTAATAGTGAGTACATTTATAAAAGAACCCTTTTTGGGGATTTCATGAAGTCATATGTAAGCTTTATGGTCTTGCTTTATGGTTTTAATTGGTAGAATTGAATGATCCTGGCTCCAAACTTTGTAATTCATTGAATACACTATATGAGTGACTAATTTGTGTGTATTTATTCCTTTATTGTTATTTTCTAAGCAATATATTATTTACTGTTTTTCAGTTGTGTGGCACTCTATTAGTAATACTAAAGTAAAATTAATATTTTTAGCAAAGGATATGAAATTCGATTTCAGTAATTGTCTCCCTTTAATCACATCTGAAGTTTTGTGTGTATTTGGAGGTAATTTAGAGATACCATCTTTGATTTAATGACCATACAAATCATTGGATTGGACATGTTCCAGTCATGTAAGACTGGAATTTTATATATCGGGTATGATTTTTGTGTTTTGTTTCCATTATGATGGTATCCATTGTAAAAGTGAGGCATATTAAAATTTACCCTTCAAATCTCTTACCATGATAAAGTATGAACTATCCTTACTAACATTAATGTTGGTGCATTTGAAATATTTTGTTGTGTTTAGTGAATTATTTCTATATATTTATATTTACCTCATATATTACGTCCAATTACCATACCAAATACCTTACCTTGTAAAATATATTTCAACTTTCAACACAACTATACATTATCTCACAGCTTTTTCATATTATATTTATACTGACAAGGGCAAATATGATGTAGGGATGTTGATTTGACTAGATCTCCCAGTAATGTTTGACTGAACTGAAATTTGCCAGATTAGTTGTGGTCATTTAGGATATTCGCATGTTTCTGTTTACTGAAAACATTAATATGTCAAGCTGTAAAAATATAAAAGCAATACACATGCGATGGCTTCACCAAAAATCTTATGATTCAAATTTATCACTGTGAAAAATGTATTACATGCCATTTATCTGTTAGTAATATTCTTTTTGAAACATGGGCTTTATTCACTTGTTATCTGAACATGTAGAAGGAAGAAGTGTGTATGAGCATATTTATGGCTAGCAGAGTCATTAGTTACATTTTCTCATGTCACTCAATCTTTTTCTTATTGATATCATATATTTTGTGTTTTGGTTTCAAGTATGTTGTATGTAATCATGTCAAATTAACAATCCATTTCTTATTTACGTTGAGAAATTC